AGGGTGCATTAATTTAAAATCGATTCACAGTATCTTAAAGTAGAGATTTCAAGCTTTCATTTAAAAAAAAGTTCATTATTTTACGATGATTTTTCGCGGAGTTACCATTAACCAAAGTTGACCAATTTTTGCTCAAAATTTTTCTATGCCATAATTTTTTTTAGCAGTGTATATTATATTATAAAATCAATCGCGGGAGAATTAAGATAAAAAAAAATGAAACAAGAGCGCAACAATATTTTAATAACAATGATTTAACAAGTATCTCTCCTAATGTTTGTGTCTTGACCTTTGTTGAATGTATTAGCAAGAGGATGGATTAATTGATACATCAATATCGAGACAGGTGAGCAGGAAAAACACAAACATGTTTATGTCAGCTGGACGTGAGGTTTCAACAGCCGGTCTGTCGGAATAAAACTGCGAATACAGAGCCTAGATAACCGATAAACTTTTTAAGAAGATTAAACATAATACATAACAAACGTTTAAATCAAATCGGCAACAGAAAATTTTGAGATAAGTTTAAATTACGTTACATGAGCTTAGTTCAAACAATCTCCCGGTCAAGAGAAAGAAGAAAAATTCGAATTAGAAAGTAATAGCTAGAAGGTGGACTTTGTTATAGCTGGTCAAACTTCTAGCTATTACTTTCTATTTCGAATTTTTCTTCTTTCTCTTCTCCAGAGTGCGAACGTTTGCTTTCGTTTTAAAGGCAAAGCAAGAGAAATGCAAAAAAGAAAATATCCAATGTTAATTGATAATTAAATTAATAATTAAAGAAAAACAATATCAGAAAAGTATTAGCAAACATTTCCACCAAAAGATGGCAGCAGCACACTCAACCGTCCTGTTAAACAGATATTGTGACACAGCGCAAGGCGCAGGTTCGACTGCCAATCGCCTCTATTTCTGTAGACGTCGAGCGCGTGTGCCAGAGAGACCGTTCAGTGTGGCTTAGACTTCCAGCCGGACGGAGTCTGGCTCGTTCCCGGCGAGCGACACGGTAAGTACACGAATTGCTGACTGAACTTCGACAGAAATCGGCTGCACGTTCACTTCGATTGGCACATCATTGGCATCTGATCGACATGTGCTCGGCAGTAGTGCATCGAAACTGGAGTAAAATTTCATTCAGAGCTCCGAGTGTATTGCGTGGTGAACGCTGTGTCGTAATATGTGAAAAAGTGTGACGTTGCGGGTTTCGTATAATGAAAAGAGAAAAATTAATTTTTCTACCAGTTACGCGACTTTTCATTTTGTTAATACTTCACTGACGCGTCAGTAAGGAATGCGTGATGAAACCTATTCTGTCTTGGACTCGCTTACATAATTTCTGTTATAGTACTTTTTAATTAGCGATTGTATTGAAATATGACGATTCAGAATGAACAAGATCCAATATATTAGAATATATTTAATATTTTATTAGATCAGTAAGAGCCATTCATTGTAAGATGTTAAAAGAATTTAGGAATTCCGAAAAATAATTATTATTTTGAATAAAAGTTATTATAAAATTTTATGTAAATTAAAAATTAATCCAAATGCTTTGAATTTAAAACAGAAAATTTCGAGTCTATATTATTTATCAGATAAGATAACTGTCCTATTTCTATCTACAGAGGCATTTTGCGAATAGTTTGCTCTAATTTTAAAATGTAATTTTGAATTACATTTGAAAATATAATGGATTTTATGTATATGAAAATGTAAATAATCTATATATAGAAACTTAACTTGAAAGTATTGAATACAACAGCATACACTTTTCTTTTCGATAGAAATCTCTTGAGCATTACGTTACTGATAGTTATATCATTCATGTATTATATTTGCGCAAGTGTTAACAATTTGAACAAAGTCGTAAAAGCTGCATGTTAGTGGATAACGGTAAATCTTTGCAGTCTTACGGTTCGCCGTGTTAATGCAGGGTCAAAGGTCGCGGTCAAAGAAATTCTTATCACTAAAGAGCGAAGATACCGCCAGAAAAGATAGGAACTCAAATTTGAATATTTTCCCAACAATTAGGATGTATCATCCTTGAAGGATTCAAACACAGGGAAAAAAAACAAATCACTTGATAATACACAGTGTAGTCAGACTAATAATTTGCATAACTTGTTTTCATCCATACATAATAGTTTTTGCATTTACGATAAAAACTGAAGAAGTCGTTCACTGACATAATGCTTGATAAAGATTCGTAAAAGGGAAATAAGCAGCAATAATAATTTCCCATTGTTAGACTTACGTGAATAAAAATATGTGTTAAAAATATTATAAGTACATATTATAAAAATAACTTTTCATAGTTTTTTTTTTGTAATTGATCGGTTTTTTTTTCAAAATTACGTATGTACGCAAAGAATTTATTGTCATACGAATACATTACGTCTCTGCTAAACATGCGACTAGCTTGTAATTCAAGTAAAATAAAAAATCAAATTACAGCATTTAATATTAAATGTAGAATACAAATGCTGACTTCAGAGAAAACGAATTGACGCACTTTCTCAAATTAATTTTTAATTATAATTTTTTATTGTTACGTTAATCACAAAATTTTATGATAATTTAACTTTATTTTTAAAAAAACTAATTTGAATAATCATAGACAATAATAACTATAACAATTTATTTGTTCGTGAGTCATGAGAAATGAAACCTTTAGATACGACAGACAGACGTGGAATTAATCAGTTTTCCGTTTTTTTATGATTATAATGTATGAATTAAATAACCACGTATATCAAGATCAATTCATCTGACGAGATAGTCTTCATTGCAACGTATTTCATGCACGCACGGCTGACGCATTGTGAAAACTTCAGACAACACGTGCATCTCACGTTGTGTGTATGCGAAATATATGATATTCCTCTATCTCGTCCTCTCGCGACTATTTCTTCTTTCCGTTATTTCCTGCTTTCTCGTTATTTTCGTAAATCGTCCTTTATTCGTCGTATTCATCAACATATCTTCTAATTTTAGTTATTACTTGAAGAAGTAACAGCAAATCTTTAGTAATTGATACGTTTGACAATATTTTTCAGTATAATCTTACTTGTAGGTACATAAATGAAAATGATGGATCAGTTTTTTCAACAGATTCTAAGCGAGGTTCCCATTATAGGGAAATCAATATTTTGCTTTCACACACATATTGTCCCAGTCTTGTTATAATCATTCTTTTAAGAGTTATCAAGAAATGATGCCAATGAACTCTAGTCCTTCTTGTAGCGTATTCTATTGTTATCTTTATTCTCTTCTCTATTATAACTAATATATTGAGCGCAATATTTCTCTCCTATACAAATTTCGATTTATGAAAATCACGGAAAATCACATAGAAAAAATACTTCTCTTTATTTATGATTTCATGTACGATTATATTTATAACACTAATAATATATAACATATAATAACACATAATTTATAACAACAGATAATTTATAACATTGTTACAAAAAAACATTTTTTTTCTCTCTCCGAAATGACGTCTCTCCGACCATATATTTTCCGAAGCGACTTTTTCGCGCTGAACACGATGCCATTTGAAGAATTCGCCTAGCACATAGGATTTTGAGTAAATTGGAAAGTTGCCAAAAATGGCATTTTTGGCCATTTTTAACATTTTCTTGCGGCAAAACGGAAACTGGTTTCTATTAGAATATCCTTTTAAAATTTATCCTGAAAAATTAATCGTGGGATAACATAATATTTTGACAAATTTTACTGTACACTACAATAAATTATATTGTGAACTACAATAAATTTGTTGTAGTATATATTTAAAAAAATAGTAAAAATCATATAAGATCCGTCGAAATACTATGTTGTCCTACGATTAACATGAGTTTCAAATTTTAGAATAAAATTCTCTTCGTGCAAATAAACCCAATGACATTTGAAAGTATCATTTAAGATCTTTCAAAAGAACTTTGGTTTATGATCGTACTTCTTTTTTATCAAGTTATGGCTGTTTGAAATATATTTTTAGACTTTTTGTACACTGTGTTACAAAAAAACACTTTGCTTTTCTCTTCCCGAGGTGTGATCATATGTTTCCCGAAGATTTTTTCACGCTGAACACAATACCGGTAGAATCGCTTAGCATGTCAAGATTTTGAATAAATTGAAATGAAAGTGGTCAAAATTCTTTCGAAAGCTCTTAAATGATACTTTCAGTTCTTTGATCACTTTCATTCCAAATGTATGGTCGCACTTTGGAGAGAGAAAAAGAAAATGTTTTTTTGTGACACAGTGTATAAAAAGTCTAAAAGTATAATTCAAACAGCCATAACTTGATAAAAAAAAATACGATCATGAACCAAACTTCGTTTGAAAACTCTTAAATGATACTTTCAGATGTCATTGGGTTCATTTAGAAACCAGTTTCCGTTTTGCCGTAAGAAAATGTTAAAAGTGGCCAAAAACATCATTTTTGGCAACTTTCATTTCAATTTACTTAAAATCTTGTGCTAGATGAATTCTTCAAACGGCATTGTGTTCAGTGCAAAAAAATATTCGGGAAACGTATGATTGCACTTCGGAGAGAATTTTGCTGTAACACAGTGTAATTGCGTTCTCAATTTTCATTGAGAATATTATTTTTAGAGCAATCATTTTACAGTCGTTATTCAATTAATTTTTAATTTTATTAAATCATACTGCAGAATCAAATAAATAAAACATAATACAAATATCAAAGGGACCATCCATATATTACGTAAGCATATTTTTGGCCATTTTTTTATCCCCTCTCCCTCTCCCATGTAAGCAAATGTCAGAATTTCTAAAATCCTCTCCCTCCTCTAATTACGTAAGATTTTTCCGATTATACTCGATGTAAAGTTAATATTTGTTTTTCATGACAGCAGCAGACATGAAAAATCTTACGTAAGAATATGTACGATCCCCCCCCCTCCCCCATGTAATTATTTGTCAGAATTTGACTGACCCCCTCCCCCAGTCATGCTTACGTAATATATGAACGGCCTCATAGAGCTATTGTTGCGGTGTTTATTATGCAAATTTCTATTAATTACATATAATTTGTACTGTTATAAACGTCTACATAAAAATATCAGACTTATCATGTTGGAGTATAAATCCATGTATAAATAGCGAATCAGCTGTTTTTGAAAGCACGACGCTTCGGATTGATGCGGATCAAAAGTATTTTATGGTGCATTTACATACTCCACTGACAAGTGAATGTCCTCCAATAATGTAGTACGCGTTGTATATCATTAATGAATCTGATTATCCATTTCGCTTAAATGAATTAATAATTATCAATTCGTCATATTATCATTTAATTATCTGGGTGTTGCTCGGATTTGAACTTGTACCACAATGATAAAATCCTGATAAACTCGATCGATAAAAGTAAAAGAATGAAACATTCTTCCATGCTCGTTTTTTATATGCGGCAACAAGGTACACGAGATAGGCGACAGTTGATACACGTAGGAACTCTACTCAATTATATTCTCGTACCCAAACCTTAAAAGGTTGATTGGTGAAAATGAAGCCAGCTATCAGTTGTTATATCGTCTGATTGAATCGCTGTCCTATAATTATATTGTATAGGTATACATGGAAAACAGATATCAAGCAATGCAATTTGTAAGTCTTCTATCATCACAATTTGTGACATACAGCAATTAATTTTCCATTTATTGATACACTGATTGCACATTTGAATAATAGCCGATAACAAGCCGATATAAGATATTCATTTTCCAGTATTCAAAATTTTAGTTTAGTATTAAAACAGAAACGTTAATTAAGCTACAAGGTCGTCTTCATGCGACCATAACAATCATTACATTACGGATGTGGTGAAATATGATTTATGTCAATTGTAGCCTATGAGAAGATTTTATTCGTAAATCAACTATAATGATAGTCACAAAGCAAAACGCTCTTAACATATATTTGTTTTAAAATTCTATATAATATTTAACGTTAAAAAGATAAATGCAGAAATGTGTTATATTAAAAAATATTACTTTTTGCTAGAGATTTTTCATAGATATTTAATATTTAAATCTTAAAACTTTTATTTCATAATAAATTTTTGTGTTATTTCATAATAAACTCTAATTGCAATAATTTGTTATTTTTATTATATTTTCGAATTTTTTACATTTGTTTTTTTTTTGGCAGACGCGCCTATTATTATTGTTGTTGAAGATTAGATATATACGATACCTATGTATTGAATTTTTTTACTATCTCATCACGTATGCTGAGCGTATTATGTTTTATCTTTCTTTATCTTATCTTATTTATCGCTAGATCAATAGTTATAATTATAATTTCTCGTTAGCACAATGTAATGTATGCAAATGTACAAAGTCTACATGCGGATATCAATTTTCAAAAAAAAATCGCGTCAAGTTTCTCCTTATATCACGCGTATTAAAGAAAAAGTAAGAAAATCGGGACAACGACGCGTGTTATGCGAAGAAAAGGTGAATAGTTCATGCGATTAATCCTACAAACGATTTCGTAACTGACGCGCCAGACGATGCAATTCATTTACGCTAATCGAAGATTTCGAGGTCGATCGAGATTGGCATAAAGGTCTTGCGAAAATCTGCGGTTCTTTAGTCGAAAGTCCTATTCGTATGACGGAATTTCGAAAGGACGCAGTCCGATCGCGTGGTTGTAAACTAGTAATTTAGTAGTTTAAAAATACATCGTAAATACGACCTAGATAGAAATTCATTAACTGATATTCCGCAACTGGTACATATCAATTTTCACAATGTTGTTCGCAAATAATTTATACTATATTATTTTTCAAATAAAAATATTGCATGAAAATAAAACTAAAATATATTATAAAAGAAGAGTAACATTAATAAACAAAATTGTGATTTTGTAATAAAAATAATAGTAACAACATTATTATTATTTTGATATTTTAATATAATTTAATTAGTATATCATCTAGAATTTAAGAGAATTTGTTACAAATCGCGATCTCGTGTTACTGAACTATTGTATACATACTGTATTACCGAAATATACGTATTAACTATACATTGCAATTTGATGCCATTACATAATACATATTCGGGATTCCCCGGGTATATTCAATTATCGCGATGGCAAAATTATCTTCATAATCAACTCAAGAGTCTCTTCCGGTCACGACAGCAGATTTGCTATCGAAATAATTTTTATCATACCATTAATCGCGCGTAGATTTTCATTCTTACGGCAAATATATATAATCCGTAATTACGAATGATAATTATGAATGCATTCCGTTGATTGATGCAGAGGTCTTATCGACGTGACAACTGATTTTCCGGTAATTCCTGGTGTTACAAGCGCCATTTTGTCTCATTATCGCGTTTGTCACATGTATAACAGACAGACTATAGACAATATGAATCACCAATGTTTGAAGAGAAGAAAATAAATCTCATTTTCTACGGTTCCACAAGAGATAATAGTGATGTACGTTTATTATGTGTACAAAAGCTGCCATGTATAAACCGCCTTATATTCAATATATTGAGAAATATTTAATTAAAATATTTGCTTGATAAGCTATAAAATATTATTTTAAATAAAAATAATAAATCAACTAAATGAGATATTATATAAACTGAATATATGATTAAATAAAACTTTCAAGCGAAATATAAATAAAAATTTTATAACTAATTTCAAACTTATATGTATACTTAATCAAAATTTTTGAAGATTTTTTTATCTAAATAAATTTTTTAATATAATTCTGTAATCATCAATTTGCTGCATGCTACATTAACATTAAATCAATTTTAAGTCACTCCGTTCTTTCACATTTCTTCTATCGTTTAATAAGCAACAGTGTTTATTCAACATGAAACGATTTTACCTTGCTAACTTCTTTTACGCAGTTTATTTTAAGTCGTATCGTATGCATAATCTCTCAGTACACTACATTTACCTGATATCAGTTCTTTGCAGATTCTAATATCTCTGTGAGGTAATAAACACGATACATAAACGATGTAAGAACCAATAATATGGATTAATAAAAATTACAAATTTTCATCATATTTTCATGATCAATTTGACCTCATTGCGATTTTTGACATTAGTATATGTGTTAACACTGAACATAAAACTGTAATGACAGAATCATAAAAATATTTTTTTCACGAAAAAAAATTCAATCGTATGATTTTATATTTTGAAGTCATGCTATAACGTTATTGCGATTTACTAGTATTAAATTGATGTCTTATTGAATGGTCGTTGACCATTGATCATGCCGTTGCAGAATGCACGTAATCATCGTCATCGTAAATCAGTATAGTATTATCTAAACACACATCCTGTGAATGTATATGTAAAAAAATGTTATGTTTACATTATATTCGTATAATTTTTCCTAAATAATTCCTTTTGATAATTTCTATGTAAAACATGTTTTGTTAAACATTTTTTTATGAACGATAAATGCACCGTAAAAATATTATCAATTATTATTTTTTTATTCTTTGATGTGCGCAACAATAATTTATTTATGATATGTTTAATGCGATTGATAGCTATAAATTATTAGACGTCTGAAATTTTTGCGAGAATATCTCTCTGTATACAAGTAACAAAAATATTGCACGTGACTCCGACACAGTTGGCTGGTACACCGAAAACAGGAGTTAACAAACATGCTACACATGATGTATCATGTGCGTAGTAAGTTGAATACTAGTCTGGCGCTCTAATTCAGATGCGCTCGCAGCTTACCCGATGCAACATTACGCTCAATGTCATAGTACGTCAAGGAGCCAATTTGATAAAAATAAGTATTACAATACAATTCGATCTTTGACAGATTCAATCGTTTGTTTTATATCAATTCTTTAATAACAAAAAGTTTGCCTTGATATTTTAATTTGTAGAATGATAAAAAAATGATACCTTTAAATAAAAACCAATTTGGTTTTTAATTCATGGCTTATTAATGTATCATTCGCAATAATCATCATTTAAAACAAAGCATCAATTTCAAATCTTTACTTTAGTCGTAATAATTAATTTTTGTCGTTTCTAATATAAATATAATAATAAAGTTATTTTTGTTTCCAGAAAAGATGCAAGATAAAGTTATGCGAAATCCACAATTTGCTACTATTTGTGTATGCAAAAAAACATTTATTTCAAATATAATATGTGTACGATAAAATAGAAGAAAGAGAAAGAGAGAGAGAAATAATAAAAAACATAGAATTTATTTAAATAAATCAAATATGCGAGAGAAAAGTTATAAATTCTTAGTTACAATATTATAACAATTAAGTTTTAGTTATAACATTATAACAACATTATAATAATTATGACCGTATTAAAATAAAATGGAATTTTATCTGTTCCAGACATAACAGAAATAATTGCCGGAATATCGAAGGATTATCTTAGAAAAACGAGCAAAAAAAGGGACATTTGAATTTGTGATTAAAACTATCATGCCGTAGAACGTGTATTCCGAGAAACTGGAAGCTGTGTGTTCTAGTGATAACTGTAGAAGACATTATACGTTATCGCAATCACACGAAGACCATTTGGAATTCGAACTCGAGCGAAGACAGCAGAAGGGAAAAATAGTTTTAAAACGCAAGCGTCATAAAATATTTAAACCGGCCTGAACATTTTCACTAAAGAAATAATTCATTTCATGAAGATAAAGTGTAGAAGTCTGTATTTTAGTGTTTTATATATATGCCATTCGAATAAAGATAACGACAGAGTGATAATATCGTGAACTTAAAAGAAAACAACTGGCAAAATGCATTCCATACGTGCTCATCGGGTGTTAAACAAGCGCAAAACTGTGTTACAAGTATGGAAGATCGCCGGGAGATGCTTCGGCACAGATGTAGAATACAGACCAATCAGAAGTGTCCTCGTTGCCAATCGAGGTAAGTAAATTGTTATTAATTGTTAAATAATTTTTTTTCTTAACTTAATCTCTAAAATGTATTTTGATTTCTTCAAATATCGTATATTATTTCGTTGCATTGCAGTCAAGATATGACTAGTTACTTTCTATAAACGGATTTCTCACAAGAGATTACGAGAAACTTATCTTGCGAAATAGATAAGACATCACATGCAATATTACAAATCCATTCTTGATAATGTCACAAGCTTATTAACACACTTGTTGATGGCAATTCGTAAATATTATTGTTTTGTCATTATTTAAAATTTTAATAGATTATATACGCAGTGTACGTGTAATTGCAAAATTTGAGTTACATTTTTGCTTTATTCCCTCATGATACGAGTATATCGTAGTATTTTATTTGTAATTCATATGTACAAATTTGTTAGTAACATATTGAAAAAATAGTAGAAAAGAATTGGTATTAGTAGCTGCAGAATTAATACATTTCAAATAATTGCTACTTTCACTGGAAGCAATCATCATTACTTTCACTGGATATGATCGACGTTGCTCGAATTGATGAATTAATGAATGTTATCAGTGATAACTCGTTAATTTTTGTAGGACAAGGTTGTGTGATTAATCAACATGTGAAATAGCATCGTTCTTGATGTATCGAGTATCGAATATATCTTAGGCACTCCGTTTAATTAAACCGTATACCATAATTTATACCGTATTCATACCGTACCTAATACGTCTCAATGATTTTCGAAACTTATACATTTTTTATTTACATTATTATTCTAAAAATATTACGAGATTAATAAAAAATAAGACGTTTCAAGTATTCATACAAGTATTTAAAAAATTATTTTAAATATTCGTATGAATATTAATATTAAAAAAAATATATTAATTCTTCGGAAAATTAATTTTAATTTGTTTAATTCATTTTCATATTTTTTATTTTCATTTATTTTATTCATATTTTTTATATGGACGTTAATATTTTATAAAATAAAAATTTTTTAAAATGAGTTAAATTGAAATTTTAATTTTCTCTAATGAAAGTTTAATTAATGAATATCTTTTCTTAAAATTTTAATGAATCATTTTTCGTTATTTCTTTTATTTTCAATGTGCCCAATTTTAAGTTGTGCTGATTTTTTATGATTTTTTATAAAATCTTAACGTGCAAACATAATGTATTTCAGGAGAAATCGCTATTCGTGTGTTTCGTGCTTGTACGGAACTCGGCATTCGCTCCGTAGCAATATATTCAGAGCAAGATAAGATGCAGATGCACCGTCAGAAAGCAGACGAAGGTTATTTAGTAGGCAAAGGATTACCACCCGTTCAGGCTTACCTGAATATTTCTGAAATTATCCAAGTAGCTAAGGAGAATAATGTCGACGCCATACATCCTGGTTATGGATTCCTTTCCGAGAGAGCAGACTTTGCTCAAGCGGTCACTAATGCAGGCATCAGGTTCATCGGGCCTAGTCCTAAAGTTGTCCAACAAATGGGAGATAAAGTAAAATATTATTATAATATGTACAATATATGTATATTATTGACAAAATATTTAACATACGATTATTATTCGATATATTAAAAATTTATAATAGTAAACATATCGATAACTGCTTATTCCAATTAATGTCCAAATTAATTCCTGTTTTGCTTCGGATTAAAAATTTCTAAGCATAATAGTATAAAACATCGAAAATTTGTAGAACTGTTCAACATTCTGCTAAAAAATTTTTCGATTAATTTTAATTGTACAATTTTCCAAAAAGATCAAGATACAACAAATACAATATAATTTCGATAGGTGGCTGCCAGACAAGCGGCAATTGAAGCTGGAGTGCCCATCGTTCCGGGAACAGACGGACCGGTAACAACTTCTGACGAAGCACTGGAATTCTGTATGAAGCACGGCCTTCCAGTTATCTTCAAAGCAGCGTACGGAGGTGGAGGACGAGGTATGTCTGAGACATCAAGAACTAACATACCGTTTAATGTATTTAAAGATATAAAAGAAATTTGTAACGTCGCAAAACTACTTATAAAAGCTTGAAATTTTGGATCTTAAAACGGAAACGAATAGATTTATAATCTTTCCCTGTTTTAAGATTTGCTTCTTTATTGCATAAATAATTCGTTATTTTAGTATTATCTCACTTGGAAAAAGTTTTATACTATTGCATACACGTTATTCACATAAGTTAAAACGTGGAAAACAAAAGTAAATTGACCGTAAAACAATATAATCGGCTGTAGTCACTAGAAATTGTGAACATAAATCATATGGACAAAGAAGAAGAAAAAAATTTTTTTCCGCTGAATAACGTTCTATGCCTTCTATGGTATGGTATATTATGTATGGGAAACACGTCTATTCGTTATCGAACAATGCGAAAATTATCTGAACACAAACTACGTTTATGGCAAGTTTCTCAACGATAATGTCGCTTGCGTACTTACGTATATGCTAGACAAACGACAACGAAGTGTATGACTAATGTTCAAATTATGTAAAATATGTAAAAAATGTTTTTTAAAAATTATAATATACTATGTCATAAATAATAATTTGGAAATGCTGTGCTTTTAATATTAAATATAACAAAAATTTCAATCCAAACTAAATTTAAATTAAAATAAAATTTAAATAGATGTAAATCTTACAGAATATTTTGTCAATATTTTTTAAAATTAATTATATATGTCTTGAAAAAAATGTGACATTAAAAAATTTCACAGGTATGAGAGTTGTAAGACAGATGGAGGAGGTCCGTGAGATGTTCGATCGTGCGTCTTCCGAAGCGGCGGCTGCTTTTGGAAATGGCGCGATGTTCATCGAGAAATTCATTGAGAGACCACGTCATATTGAAGTTCAATTACTTGGGGATCACGCTGGCAATGTCGTGCATTTATTTGAACGCGACTGTTCTGTGCAGCGTCGTCACCAAAAGGTCAGTGCCCCGGTTAATTTTAATTTAGTGCACGTAACAATCAGTTAAAAATATCATGATTTCAATATTGCAAATTATATATTAAGTATTCAATAACCAATATAATATATAATATTAAAAGAGAACAGCAGCATTCTTTTTTAAATCTACTAAACAGATTTTAATTTCTATTTTAAGAAATAGCATTATATCTTTGCAAATTTGTAATTCTAAAAACAATTAATAAACGGTTCGATAATATAAATAACAATTTTAAAGAAGGTACCATCCATTGACCATCAAAATTAGTATAGCGCCTATCAATTAATTCTCTTAATTCATACTTCGTGTAAATCGGGACAAAGGTTATTGATATAAGAATCTTAAAGAGATTGAATAAGATACAGAAGATATCGTGCAAAGTACATGTAAGATATATGCTAAAAACTGTACTATACGCTAATGTAATATAAGAATTTTAAGTTTGAGCAATTTTCTTCAATTTTATGAACAAATTAGAATTCGTCGAGTTTTTTTCCTCAAGGCTTTCTCAAGGATGTTTGAATCCGAAAGGCAAGTAGGTAGGTACATTCACCGTGATTGCGTTCGTTCGTATAGCCCGAAACAAGGACAATGACGCAATTACACGAGATCCATGATTATAGCTCGCATGTTTACATAATAGTTCTAAATAGTAGTTTACATAATAATTCTAAAAATTAATAACACAATAGCTCGATATCGTAAAATATAGCCCAAACGGGCTTATTGCCGTTTCTATATTATATCAACTTGAAGAACCGATTAATAAAAAACTTGAACATATCAATCTAACCAGTTTTACGAAACCTTTATAAAACACGCAGGTTGTCGAGATTGCGCCAGCTCCAGCATTATCGTCCAAAATTCGCGAGAAAATGACTGAATACGCCGTTAAATTGGCAAGACACGTTGGTTATTCGAACGCCGGTACTGTGGAATTCTTGGTCGATGAATCTGGAAATTTCTACTTTATCGAAGTCAATGCCAGATTACAAGTTGAGCACACAGTAACCGAGGAAATAACAGGGTAATGAAGTAGATACAAAAAATATTCTTTTTCACATTTCTTCGTCACTTCACAATTTTACTCTCTTTTAATATTTTCAATGTAATTGTAAATTAATTGTACACTTAACTATATGGATATTTGCTTTATGCAAATCAATTTATATATATTTATATGCTGTCATCTTCATTCCTTCAGAATCGATCTCGTGCAATCCCAAATTCGAATCGCCGAGGGCATGACATTACCGGAGCTCGGTATGACGCAAGAGAAAATTATACCTCAAGGATTCGCGATTCAGTGCCGAGTGACTACGGAAGATCCAGCCAAGAGTTTCCAACCGGATACCGGAAGAATCGAAGTCTTCCGTTCCGGCGAAGGCATGGGCATCCGATTGGATGGAGCCTCCGCGTTCGCCGGTGCTATTATCTCGCCGTATTACGATTCGCTTCTTGTCAAGGTATGATGATGATACCAATTGCAAAGAAACCTTAATACATTTATCAATATTTGAAGAATATTAACAATATATATTCGGCTTTCTCAGGTAATCGCCCACGCCGGCGATCTTCAGTCGTCCTGCGCCAAGATGAATCGAGCCCTTCGCGAATTCCGCGTGCGCGGAGTAAAAACAAATATACCTTTTCTACTGAATGTTCTGGAAAATCAAAAGTTCCTCAACGGTATCGTCGACACGTACTTCATCGACGAGAATCCTCAGCTCTTTCAGTTACAACCGAGCCAAAACCGAGCACAGAAACTGCTCAATTACATTGGTACCGTCCTGGTAAACGGTCCCAGCACGCCATTGGCTACTCAGCTGAAGCCCGCGGACATCAAACCGCACATTCCGCAGATTGCTCTAGGTACACGATCGAATGTCAACGAATGCAATGGCGATAATCGGGGGCGACATAGCCTTTATTAAACTACACAAGAGATAATTTCGATAATCGAATCCCAATCCTATTAAATTTCGTTACTAGACATCAAATTAAATACTGTCCACGTTATGTAGCAAAATTACCCTGGCTAATTAGAGCAGAGGCGTACGGAGGATGTGCTTTCATGCGTGGGTCAGCAAAACAGGGATTGTATTTTTTTTTCTCTTTTTTTAATTTTTTTTTTCATGTGAACAGGATGTCTACTAATTCTCTGAACGGATTAACGTTTACATGAAGGCTGCTGTAATTAATCCTATGAATGTCTATGAATACTGAGATTTATTAAAAATTCTTTTAATTTTTAAAAAACTATTAACAAATGGATACAAAGTAATTTTTAAATACTTATTAATTTTTATAATATTTTCTGAGACTTCTATGTACAAAATCCATAAAAGTTTAACACCTGATTTTACATACTGAAGGATTATATTACGTTTATTAAATTTTAATCGATTAATAATTATTAATGATTTTGATTAAGGCAAACAGTGTAACATTTAATCATGATAACATGGAAATATGATATGACAGAAAAAATAGTAAACATCCTTTTTGCTTATAAGTAACAAACCGTTTCCGCTTTTCTGCTGGGTTTATAGGAACACTCGGTTTAACGGTTTCAAAAATTTACTTTTTATTATGTGTTATTCTTGTGTCTAAATTCCAACGTAATTATTGCACCGCGCTGCATTAAGCACACTGCACATTACGCGAATTCGTAAGTGGGCTCACGAAGCATCTTTATATGTCTCTACTTATCGTCATTATTTTAATAACAAGTAATAATGAAGCATGCTGTTTTTCGTTACTGGTTAGTATTTATTCGTCAATAATTCAATATTCCATTCTATACGCATAAAGAAACCCATTTATACTCAAAGTATCATCGATATATACGCTCTATGCGTTTACGCGTATGGGATAAATCCAATAAATCGAGATAAATCCCAAAAAACTTTGTCTCTTGAAGACTCATTGTCGTATTCTTATAATAGTGTTACTTACATCTCTAAATATTAATTTCCCTCTTGTACACACTTCACTCTTTATCGCATGCTTTTATTTTTTTGTTTGGCAATTTTTTAGACTTTGCTAAGCTTGCAGCTGCAGAAGAGACCAATGATCCCGACGTACCAGGTATGGTGTTACAGCGTTATATATAATATATATACATATATGTATGTATATACATATATATAATGCCTTTTCTTTATTTATATTATTTTAAGATTTAGTATTGTGCAGATTGAGAAGTTAAAAACTGAACGCTGGTATAGTATAACAAAGTTTTTGTGTTTAGTATATTTAAACAAAATTTTTAATTTGTTATTATTCTTTCAGATTGGCAGACATTTGTTTATTAAAATTTAATACGTTTTTCTAAATTTGACCAATTAATTTAATGTATTAAATACACCAGTATTAAACGAGCAATATAATAATGCCATTAATATATGTATTGCTACATTATATTAAAATATTAATTTGTTATTTAGTGTGTAGCGATATATTAATTTTAAATACTGTGCATATCGCATAAAATATTCTTAGTCTAAATTTGTGAAGCATTTTTGGAATAAAAAATCTGTTTAATAATGCTATACAATAATATTTAAAATATTTAATAAGAATTTGTATACTTTATATTTTACATTTTTATTTTTTATTTTTCATATTTTTTATATTTTCAGTATTTATGTTTTATATACATATAATTACATAAAGTATTAATAGTAAATAATCAACATAAGTAATAAATGTTTAATTAAAATTAAATAATTAATTTTAAATTATACTTATGATTATATTACATTAATAATATATAATTAAATATTATATACATTACAATTATGTTACATTGCATTTATTTGAAAAAATAAAAAAAGAAACCGTTTAAAATATTTATAAATATAGTATTAATACAACAAAAGCAAGTATTAAATTAATAATTATGCAAATACATTTATCTATAAATGGCTTGTTTTTATTTTCATGTTTTATCAACGATAAATGTCTATAATGCACCGCTTCTCATAAACATTGTTCACGCCTATTAATAACAGCACGTGTCAAATAACAATCCATTCTTTTTGGAAAAGCATCAAAAACTAATCCCTCTTCTGCGCTCCTTTACAGAACTTCTGGATCCTCCGAAAGGATTCCGACACATTTATAAGGAGCAAGGTCCGGAAGCTTTCGCCAAAGCTATTAGACAGCACAAGGGTCTTCTTTTGATGGACACTACATTCCGTGATGCCCATCAGTCCCTGCTGGCGACTCGTGTACGATCGCACGATTTACTAATGATCTCCCCATTCGTCGCTCACAAATTCAGCAATCTCTATTCGCTGGAGAACTGGGGTGGTGCTACCTTCGACGTAGCTTTAAGGTTCCTCCATGAGTGCCCTTGGGAACGCCTGGAAGATATGAGGAAGATCATCCCTAATATTCCATTCCAAATGTTGCTGAGAGGCGCTAACGCTGTCGGGTACACAAACTATCCCGATAACGTTGTCTTCAAGTTCTGCGAACTGGCTGTGAAAACCGGCATGGATATCTTCAGAGTATTTGACTCGCTTAATTATCTACCGAATCTTATTGTCGGTGAGTTTCTTTTATAAGCGGCCTAAATAATCACTTAACTGACGAAGTGACATTCTCGAAATATTCTTAATTTATTTTACGAGTAATTCAATGTCGTCTTCCGTTAAGCCTAAACTTGAAATATTTATGTGTAAAAATTTCTGCGCTAAGTGCGACTTTCATTTCACAGGTATGGAAGCCGCTGGAAATGCCGGGGGTATCGTCGAAGCGGCGATATCTTACACGGGTGATGTAAGCGATCCGAATCGTACCAAGTACAATCTGAAGTATTACACCGACTTGGCGAACGAGTTAGTCAAAGCGGGCACTCATGTCCTAGCGATCAAAGATATGGCTGGATTACTCAAACCAAGAGCAGCCGAGATGTTGATCGACGCGATCAGGCAGAAGCATCCGGATGTGCCTCTCCATATTCACACGCACGATACTGCGGGGGCCGGAGTAGCCTCCATGTTGGCCTGTGCGAAGAGCGGTGCCGACGTCGTGGACGTTGCTGTTGATAGCATGTCCGGCATGACTAGCCAACCTTCTATGGGCGCTGTTGTTGCTTCTCTTCAAGGTACAATAAATTTTTAATTTTGTGTGAGCGATCATAAATTAATTTTTCATATAATTTTCATTTATTTGCTGTATTTATACGTGACAATTCTTAAACAGCTTCAATTACGCTTTAATTATTATTTTAATTGCTACTATAACACTGCAATGTTTTTTCAACAGTTTATTTAAATTAAATTTATTAACAGAATTGGAGTTATATTAAAATTTAGTACTGTGAAACTAAGACAATTTTCAATATTATGATAGGAACGGATATTGACACAAAATTGGATCTACCTGATATCTCCGAGTATTCCGCGTATTGGGAGCAAACGAGAACGCTTTATGCACCTTTCGAATGCACGACAACGATGAAATCCGGAAACGCAGACGTCTACCTTAACGAAATTCCCGGTGGCCAATACACGAATCTGCAATTCCAAGCTTATTCGCTTGGTCTGGGCGAATTTTTCGAGGATGTAAAGAAGGCGTATCGGCATGCCAATCTCTTGCTCGGTGATATTATCAAAGTTACGCCGAGCTCCAAGGTTGTCGGCGACTTGGCGCAATTTATGGTACAAAACAAACTGACTGCCGATGATGTTCTCAAGAGAGCTGAAGAATTGTCGTTCCCTAAGTCAGTGGTCGAGTTTCTTCAGGGTGCCATTGGTGAACCCCACGGAGGATTTCCTGAACCTCTCAGGTAAGATTTTGCGTTAACACAATTTAACACGGATGTTAATTTCTCGGCAATCCTTTCATTGCATTTAATTTGCGTTTGTAATTGGATCAGGTCGAAGGTTCTCAAGGACATGCCACGCGTGCAGGGTAGACCAGGCGCGAGTTTGGCATCGCTCAACTTTGATGCCCTGAAGAAGGAGCTGAAAGAATCTCACCCACATGTCACCGAAAAAGACGTCATGTCGGCCGCACTTTATCCTCAAGTAACGAAGGACTACTTGAACTTCAAGGAGCAGTTTGGCCCGGTAGATAAATTGGAGACCAGAATCTTCCTCACTGGACCTAAAGTAGGCGAGGTATTCGATGTCACGATCGAGAAGGGAAAAACTCTCGGCATCAAAACTTTGGCGGTTGCCGAAGATCTCACGAAAAATGGCGAACGCGAGGTGTTTTTCGAGATGAACGGTCAACTGAGATCAGTATTCATCAAGGATAAAGAGGCTGTCAAGGTAAACGATACTCACATATTTATCATGTACTATTACTTTATACTATCAGGTTAATACTTCAATTAAGTTACAATTAAAATAAAATTGAAGTGTGTTAAATAACAATTAGATTGAGATTACCATTTGAAAATAAGATTGAAGTCAATTAAAATAAAATTGCAATTAAATTAAGACTAAATGAATGTCTTAAACAAAGTGCGACACAAATTTTCTTATTCTTTGTACAGGAATTGCATGTGCATCCGAAAGCGACGAAAGGTGATAGCAATCAATTGGGGGCGCCGATGCCCGGCGAAGTGATTGACATCAGGGTAAAAGTGGGCGACACCGTGGAAAAAGGTGTGCCATTAGTCGTGTTATCCGCCATGAAGATGGAGATGGTTGTGCAAGCGCCTAGAGCAGGAAAAATCAAGAGCCTTAACATCAACACGGGCATGAGAATAGAAGGAGACGATCTCATCCTGACATTTGAATAGGTTCTCACTTTGTGATAGGACCGACCGACATTAAAAATCAAGTCATATAAAGGCAACACCAAATATTTATTGTTATTCGCATCAATATTAGTGCGTGTGGAAGACAAGATCTTCAGCAATCTTTGTACGAAGCTTGGATTGAGAATTTTCCGTTTAATATATTAGTTTAACATTCTGCTTTATCGATGACCATCGTCTTATCGAGAATCGTCGGTGACCACTGTTTATAATTCAAGAATTTTTACTAAGTATTGACGAATTTTTTAAAAGATTTATTACATTAATTGTTATTAATTTTTTTTAATAATTCTATTTCTTAGATTGTTGTATATAAGACCACATATAGAGAATTTTATGGATGTCCATCCATAAATTAAATAGGCTATTTTAATATTGAATTAATTATTTCTTCAAAATAGATTTCATTTTTATTGAGATGTTATATTTTCATTTTGAAATATTAATCAAAATGTTTTAAACATCTTGTACAGATTTATATATTTGTTAATTGCAAGTGCAATTAATACAATAAAGCTGCCTAAAAAATGACAATTAATATATACAGCACTCTCTTAAGGAATTCACTAAAAAAAAAAACCTAAAAGAATTCGACAATAATACTTCTAATGTAAAATTTTCTTAATAATTCACTCTAAAACTTTTATAAACAATTAGTAAACACTCTTACACATTTCATTAATAAAAGACATAATGCATTATATTTTTTTCCTTATATTTTAATCGTAATATAAATAGATTTTTAATATAAATATAAATAATTGTGGTAAATTCGAAATTGATGCGCTTGTATTAATCAAAAAATATTTTCAAGAAATTTACACACATTCACATAAAACGATTATATCGATGTGGTCCGGTTTATCTATTCATAATGAGCAACGTACAAAAAGATGGAAAAATGATCAAGTATCTTCTTCAGCACGATTCTATATTAATTATAGCGTGTATATATAAGCGATTACTTCGATAATTTAATTACGATATCGAGCTAAGCCTTCACGAACGATTTAACAAATACTTAGAAAAAATAATTCAGGGAACAAAGACTAGAATATTGCTGAAAAGCCTTGTCTTTACAAGATCAAGATCAAATGTTACATCTTTTAAAGAAAAACAAATTGTTGTTCAAAAAGAATTATTTTTAGTAAATAATTATAAAAATTATCCATGTTCTATAACTTTACATGTATTATATAAAATTATATATATACTTAATTTTATATGTTCCATAGTTTTACAACATAATTTTACTTTAACGCGCAGATTTACCAAGAGTTATATTAAAGATGTAACAAAATAAATCTCTATAAATATGTATATAAATGTGCCATAAACGCGGATATGATATTCTAATTGTATAGATGCATGTTGTACTTATTGCAACATTTCTGTTATTGCAAATTATATGTAATGTTGATAATATATTTTTAAAAAGACAATTTTTTTTAATAAGAAAACTAAGAAATCGCGTTATTGTATGATATAAATATAACAAATGTAAAATGAAAAATTGTTTTATATATCTATGGTATCAATATATTTTTACCTTAATCGTTTTTAGAATTTGTAATAATTTGTTCCCTTAATCAGAGAAATAAATTATTTCTCAGTACTTTCTCTAACTAAAACTACAGCACAAAAAGAATTATATACTTACGATCTATACATTAAGTTATTTTTAATATCCTTTCACGTTTTAAATTAAAAAATCTATTCTTTTTACAGAAAAAGCACAATTATCCTCTTTATGATTCTAAATCGAATTATTTCTAATAAATGCATTTTTGGATTAACATGCTGTATTACAGATTTTATTATTTTGTTAGAAAATTGTTGAAAGAATAATTGTATATTATTCATTCATCAAAACTTGTTCTTTATAAATACCCTATATTTCTATATGTATAAATTTAATTAACTGCTAAGTTAATTAAAATTAAATAATTTATTATATCATTTAATTTAGATATTTTAGATAAATGTAACTCTATATATATATATATATATATGCACAAAAGCATCTTATTGTAATATTTTATTGTGATTAATTTTTTGTATTAATATTTTAAAAGTTTCTATACATTTTTTATAAAAATATTTATATGTATTTTTAACCCTATCGCCATTATATACATTATTTTAATTTATTATCTTCCAGTTAAAGCATTACTACAAAATAATACATATTACAAATTTTTCATTTAAGATTTAATTTTTATTTGATAGTATCTTTAGCAATATCTTTAATACTTCTTTTATAAAGGTGAAAGGGTTAATCAAAAGTAATCAAAAAGGTAAGGATAGGATTTTTGGAAATAATCAAAAAGCTTGAGAGTATTTTGTAAAATTCGAAGCTTAGACGAACGGAGTGCATCCATTTATTGTAATAACCCATCATATACTCGAAAGGAGAAGGTCGTAAAGAAGTTTTCATGATTCTCTGCAAATATGCGAAAACGTGGCAATAGACTTATGATGTTTAAGTCTGGGCGTTTACAGATTGTAAATGACAATGGTAAGAGAATATGTCACCGAACGCCGACAAATATATATATAATATATATGTATATATATAAAACATTGTATAAGTTAACATTTTCGACTAAATCTCTTATCGGTGTATCGAAACCGATACAAATATAATTACAATATATCTGTATAATAAATATGAAATATCGATATATATGTATATGTGTACAATATATATATCATAATCGTAAGTTTCTGCTGATATATTTAGCAATATCTTGTCTGAACGATAAAGAGAATCTTTTTTTTCGGTATTTTTGTCTTTTGATAAAGTTTCTCGAGATTACTCGCTAAGAAGATCGGTCCCGAATTTTTTTTCCACACATTGCGCGTCTATTTAAAAAGAAACCGGTCGTGGTGACTGCTGTATCGCACAATTTACACTAAAGCGATTTTCGGTGACTAGATACTTCGAAACCGTAAACTTCTCCGCTTACAAGTACGTACGCTCGTAGTAACATGATATATGCGAACTGGAGGTAAATATGTGTCGATGAAAAAGGTAAGAGTGAACTAGTGAGAGAGAGACTTTGGAAGGCAAAGAGTGGACGAACTCTTAAAAACTATCGACCCGATCGGTGGATCCGTTCCCACGAATGATTCGGCACCATTCGCCGCCGTCGACTCGTCGAGTCGATAGTTCGATATCAATTGCTTGTTGACAAACTTCCCCGTTTGCACTCCGAATGAAGCAACTAACAACGAAATTAAAATAGATGTAGTTCTATAAGTACGGAACTTGCGTTCCACACATCGTCACCATTATCGAGGAATCGAGGGAAGAAAGTCCGCACAAAGGGGTGAACTTTCAAGGCTGCCGCATCTGATAAAATGCGCATAACATAACACGCGATTAACCCTTTACGATCCAAGGTTACATCATGCCGATCGGAGGTGGCGGAGCATTTTACACTTATTTTGCACTCATATCTAAGTTTACTGGCTATTCTGATATATCGAGGCCACTCAAGGCCGTATAATCGCGAGAATATTTAAATAAATATTATTTATCATACTTGAATCGCAAAAAGTTAATCACAAAACCACGAGAACAAACGTTTATGACGTTTATAAAAACTCTAGAATGTGAGGTGTAATAAATTGAATAGTACAGGCTTAAAATATTCAATACCTCCATTGGAAAGTAATGAGATATTAAATCTTAATGGATAGAACATATTTTGCCTATCTTATTTACAGAACAGACAGAGAATTTAAAGCATTCGTTGTAAAACTTGTTTCCTATCGTCACTAGAGCGACGTGTGTTCGATGAGTCAACAGGTTTTTCGATGTTAACAATTGGTCGCGTGACGATGTTGGGTGTCCATTCAAGTTAATACGTCAATTTAAGGGAAGCCGTTCAACAAGCGAATACGTATCTGTTAAGAATCGGCTTTTAGTATAAACAGTAGGTAAGTTATATAGCGTAGGTATTCAAAGTAGAAAGTGTAAAGTATCACAAGAATTACAATAATCGTAATAATTACGTTACGTCGCAAAGATTAAGTTCTTGACCTTACTACATCGATCGCACAGTAATTATAAGCGCTTTTAATTCGCGTCCCGCGCTTCGAGCACGCGCCGATAGACAAAGGGATCTCTATCAAGTCGGATAATCCTCTGTAAATACATCAGTCTTTGACACAATAATTATAATAACACCACTGACAGAGTAAAGCCGTGAGAAATATCGCTTTATGGCATGAAGACGAAAGTTTTTTACTTATATAAAATACGATTCGAGTTCGGAAAGGTGATCGAATGTGCTACATTTGACCGGATGAGAGCATCTCATTCTGGATAAATTCTGCGAAGGAGACCTTTTAGTTAGAAGAGAGAGAAAATGGATTTCGATGGAGTCCATTAATACGATGCATAAGCACTTATCGAGAGTATTCAAAAAGCAGCTCAGCAGAATCGTTCTTCATGCGCGGCAAGCCAAATCGCTCGGCTGGAGAATAAGACGTCAATCTCGTTAATATATTGCAAGAGGTGCGTGTTTCTATTATCTCGATAATACGAAGGTTTTGATTGTATGAATAAAACATGAGATTTTTAAATCTTTCTACCTAGAACCAGGATAATAGTCCGGGTTAATAGTAACGGATAAATAATTAATACACTTGCATTGATAATTTTATGTACTCGTCGGTTTCACGCTACCCGAAGGTTTACGCGCAAAGTTTCAAGTGATAGGATATAGAGGAGCAAGAAGAAAAATAATAAATAACAATTGACAAACTTATCTAAAACGTTCATCATTCACGTTCATCATATAATGTAACTTTTGACAAAAGTATATCACAACGCGATAACAAATTTAATTTAGCTAAAACCGCCTCTCGATTTTCCAGCTCGATTCTCGAGCAAATCCCCCGCTCAAGTAGCAATACAACGATTTTATATTTGAAATTCTGCCGTAGCTGGCAGCAATTAACTAACATTATTATCAAATTTCGATCAAGTATTTTAGCCCACGATGGCGCGTGCGTGCACCAAACCAATTCCCTTAGGCCATACAATTGATTTTCAAGCTGTTCGATTAAAGCGTACGAATGTCGCGCGACTTCAACTCGCGACTTAAGTTGCTGTAGCTTGCGGCTGAGGCGGCTGAGGCGGCGTCGGCGCCGGTGTGTTGACGTTTGGCCTATAAAATCGGTTAACTAATTGTTTCAAACTCATTACAACGCCCAGTCCGGTTCCTGGTTCCATGTTGATGAACGAGTCGAGATTATCCTTGCAGGCTGAAATGCATGAAATGCAGCCGATGAATAAAAAGTGTGTCATAAACAGATCGTTCCGCATACACACATACACACGTGCAGTTCGAAAAAGCAACAACTGATACAACTAAAATAGAGAGGTGACGAGAACAAATAAACGATGTTCAGGAAAGGAGTTGTAAAGGTCCCGTTTTTGAATGAGCTACGAGGGTATGATATTTCCAAGAAAGCCAAGATGCAGCGAGGGTTGTACAGGAACTTTTTCTCAGTTTCCTATACGTACTTGGTGTCGAAATCGGGGGATAATCCGGCGGTGTCTTGATCCAAGTGCCGTCCTTGCGCTTCATGTGATGCCGATTCGACGCGAACTGCTGAAAGTACACGCTGGCGGGCACCAGGCGGAATCTTCTGTGATACTCGGGCCGCAGCGCCTCGTCGGACCGGAAGGTCTCGGTCGCGTACTTCCAGAAATGCGTCGGAAACGGCAGGCAGCTTTCTAAATCGTACACCACCGCCCTTTCGTCGGGCGCGTAGATGAGAATGGCATGATAGTCCTACAGAGAGAGAGAAAGAGAGAGAGAAACAGGGCAACGTTCTCGTGAAATGTCACATAAAATTAGGGAGCACTGTAGCGTTTCTTAATTCTAATTATCATCCCACTGTGCGATACTAACCCACACGATTAATTTGTCCTCGTCCTTCCCCGATCGTTGACGCCAAAGGGGAACGTTTCTGCGTGGGTTGCTCACAAAAACAACGTGACAATGTTGCAATTCGGAAGGATGCCTAGTCGCTACGTCCTGGCACAGCTTCCATACGTTTTCCTCGCTGAAATTTAGTATACATCGTCTTTTATTCTCGATCAAAATCATCCGGGCAAGCTTTGTTTTAAAAAAATACAGTTTGCAAAGAGAAATAGTTGTACGCGAATTAACGAAACATTTTATTCATTATTTATATCACAGATATTAATAAAAGAAAGAACAAACTTAAATTGATATATGCAATAAATTAATTTCCTTACCTTAATTTAAATTATATTTGGAAAAAATCAAAGAGATTTTTATATTAAGCTATTTAGTACCACACACCACTTATATGCATCATTATAAGTACTTAATAAAATATAAATTACTGAAATAGAACAATTGATACGTTTAATAATATTAATAATAATATTAAAATGTGATTAATATTATTATTAATAAATTAAGTATCTAAATCAACTGTGGATTGTTTCAAACAAGAGAAAAATGCCAACATAGTACATATTACCTCAGTCAAGATTAATAATAAAATAAAGATAAGATTAATAATATTAAAATATCAAATTACCTCAGTCAGAATTAATAATAAAATTAATAAAGATAAGATTAATAATATTAAAATATCAAGTTGTATGTTATATTTCTCCTTTATATCCTATATATATGGAAGTTATATATATGAAAAACCATAAAATTACAGTATTATAATAACGCAATAAAGAGATTTCAAAGGACATCATATTTTAATAATAGCCTTAATTACAGCAAAAGAAGCTTGATTTTTGAGAATTACTTTGAAAATTGCAAAAATCACAAAAATCATTCTGAAAGACAGTAAAAGTTGTAAAGCAAAATAACATCGACGATGGTAGAAACACAGTGCGCAGCTGTTAAATCAGATACTCACGAGACGTATTAGTAAAAAGCTAAGAATTGCTTCTCCAACCCGGTTACGTGTTCCGCGCAATTACGAGGGAAAATGAAACCGATCCATAATCGTGCTCGTGCAAGCGGTTTAGCGCGACAACGGCTTCGCGTGCCGCCACATTTCGTGCGCATTATTTATCGCATGCATTATTAATTGCAATAAAAAGCGGGCTCGCGCGTGCACATTCGCGCCCGTTTAAACGGGCACGTGAACCAGCCGGTAAACGGCGTGGTGATGCCAGCACGGCTGTGCATTAGTGGGATGCCTCGTAAACAAAAATTCATTTCGCAGAAAGCAACTGGAGCGGAAAAGCGCGAATAGGCAGCCGCGCAAAGCGCGCTCCCGTTAAATCTCTGACCTATATATTTATCGATCTCTTTAAAATGGGTTACTTCGTATCGAAACATACACTTGCCGATTCGACTCTCCATTCGCGAATTACAAATTTACACGAATCTTCGTATTTATAAACCCAGACGGTTCGGAATAAATTCAATCCACGGGACAAAAGTGTTATTTATATTCCAGGATTAAAAACTGCGATTTTTAAACTTTGTAATCAGCGTACGCCGCGCTGTTCTTCGACAACTTTGTCTCTCGCTATTAACGAGAAACGCGCCCGTTGAGGGCAACGAGAGAGCGGGTCGACGGCCGAATGCGGCGTACAATTTTCGAATTACGCGCCGCGCGCGCGAAGATGGCCGCGTGCCTCGCGCGCGCGGTCGTCCGCACCGTCGCAACGTATCGATCGGAGTGCATGCCGCAATACGGCGCGTTTGTTTGTCCGAGAATCGATCGGCGCGACCACGGCACGACCGGGTCGGGGTCGGGGCACGCCGTCGGCGACCCGCGGTGGATGACGCCGCCGGGAGGGAGGGAGGGGGGGGGGAAGTGGGAGGCACGCAGGTGTCACTTACCAGTAGCAGCTGGTGTACACGCAGTCGGACGCCTTCGTGAAGAGCGGCACCAGGGGCTTCGCGGTCACGCGAGGTTCCACGGCCATTCTGCGTTCTGCGGACGTTTCCTGCCGGACGCGCGGGACACGACGCGAGATAGGACGCAGGCCGTGGGCGCACGGAACACGCGGAGGCGCGCGCGCGCGCACGTTAAGTGGACCGCGACGTCAGGCACCACGCGAACCTCATAACGAGACGCCTCAAACGATCTCGAGCTCTCGTCCTCGTTCTCAGCCGCGACGCGCACGACCGACCGACTGGAGCATTCGTGATTCGACTGCTGTCAACTGCGGACAGGTGGACTACTACTACTGCACCTCGGCGCGCGCGCCTCGCCTCGGCCGACGAGCTAGTGTCCCCAGATCGAGTAAGAGAGCCCCACCACGCGGCGCTCTCGCGAACCTCTCTTGGGCACCTGCGCAGCACGATCGTCTTGACTTTGACAGATTCGTACTCCGATGATACTGTTAACTGTGCTAGTGTGCCCGGACGCCTCGGGGTGACTTTGGGCGAGATTTCCATCGAATTAATTTAGACGCAACTTCTACGAAATATAAATCCGTTCGATGAATAAACAAAAATGTTTCAGGTAGAGTCAGAAAACAAGTAACGGAGCTGGAGAAAAAAAAACAATTTTAATGTTTTTTTTTTAACACTTTCTTCGTTCCCTCTTCGTAGCTGCAGCAATATTTTTACGAAATATACCCGCGATTGAGCGCGATCGCGCATGTATGGATCTTTCCCACGATTTGGTAACGTTGAGTCTGCACTAAAATTTTCTCTTCCTCGCTTTCGCCGAACTTTTCATGATATAAAATAAATCTATTTTGGCTGCGGTCCGATTCATGCTCACAATGCTTTTGGAATACGTTCATCCTTGTCCTTAGTCGAATATTAAATAAAGATAAATGATGATCACGAGCGCTGCAAGCGTAAATCGGACCGCAGCCTTTATTTTATTAAATAGCATATGTATATACTTGAGAACACAAAGAACAGACCTATGGTGTGTTCTTGTGTCGATATATAATGCATAACACGGGAATAAATGAGACGCACGAAATGCGTACATTATTTCTACTCGCGTTACATTATTATCGATGATAAATGAATTCGATAAAAAATAAATGGAGTAAAAAATGAGTCATCTCGTGCTGTCGTCTGCTTTATAATGTTTATATTATGCAAGAGACTATAATTCGCATGTGTGCGAGAGTGTGTTTTTATTCACATTTTACGTACATCTAATTACTGTCGTCTTTTCATACATAAATGAAATGTGAACATTAGGAGCAGTAGAAATAGCCTGTCAGTTGTGATAAAAATTGTAATGCTTGATAAGTACCATGATATCAGAATTCATGTTTTGCCCACGAGCTGCGATTCCTACGGGAAAAGCGCGTTTGTTGTAGCCTTCACACTATTTGTTTAGTGCACATCACTTGTTGATAACGATAATGATAAAAACTTGGACTTCGGATATCACACGACTTATCGCGCGTATATAAGCTTGCCGAACACGTCACACATGCTTACTTCGCAAGTGTTGTTTTCCACGGGTTTCTCGCGAAACGCAATTTGTCGCGTTTGTATTTTTTCGCGTGCACATTAAAGTCAAGTAATAATTACACAACGTAAACAATAACGACCACGACGATGGCTATAAATCCTGCGAAGGCTATCCTCCGGCTAGGAAGGACCGCATTATTCATATGCGACGTCCAGGAAAAATTCGCGAAGGCTATATTCCAATTTGACAAGATAATTCAAAACTCAACGAAACTGGTAAATCTATCACATACCTACTCTACGATTTATGACAATTTATGTTATGACGAAAACGCATGTTGAGGTTATGTGATTTCCCATAATTGTATATCAACTTATTTTTAAATTGCAGATATTGTTGCACCAATGCATTGTAATATAAAAATACGATTGCTTGCAGATTAGTGCTCTGAGAATTTTGAACGTGCCTATGCTGGTTTCCGAACAGAATCCAAAGTCTTTGGGAAAGACTATTTCTGAACTTGATATCTCTGGAGCCAAGGGACCCTACGCAAAGATGACATTTAGTATGTGTACTCCTGAAGTAAGTACATGTTCCTCTGTCGTTCATTTGTTGTGCTGCAAATAGTATTAATACATAAGTGCGTTTTACTCTCTTTCAGATCAACAAGGAGCTCGCAACACTTTGTAATGGACAAAAACCAGAGTCTATTATACTTATAGGCGTCGAAACGCATGTCTGTGTAGAAAATACAGCTGTCGACTTAAGACAGTACGGTTACGAGGTTCATACAGTGGCAGACTGTTGTTCGTCACGTACTCAAGAAGACAGATTACTAGCTCTGGAGGTATATTATGTGATTGATATCGCACCCTTGTTTCAAAAGTTTTATTTCTGTCATAACTAAAAAAAAAGATTTTCGAGTTGCTCTACTATGACAAACATTATCCTATCAATTATCAAAAGTCCGAAAGATTTAATTTTTTTGAATGTCACTTTGAAGTAAGGGTATGATATATTTATTTATTACTTATTGTTTAAATATGTTTTTCACAGAGAATGCGGGACATAGGATGTCACATAACCACTTCTGAGAATGTTATATTCAAGCTTATACGGGACGCAAGTCATGATCAATTCAAAAATTTACTGACTCTTGTCAAAACGCCAACCCCATACACAGGATTAGTTCCTGTCTCGAAAATATAAGTGCTCTTGAAAAGTTATTTTTGTATTGTTTTTTGTATATAAATACATTTATACCAATGGGATATAAATTACAGTTAATGTACAATCGCGAACGGTCCTGAGAAATAAAGAGGCTATATTTTATCAAAATATCAATGTATTTTATATTTATACAGGGTATGAAAAGGCTTAATGTAAACTTTATAAGTACTTCGTAAATCAAATCAGACTGAAATCCTCACACTTTACTTCATGCCTGTAGAACCAAATCCGTCTGCGCCTCTACTTGTATCAGTTAAAGTATCTACTTCTTCTATCTTGGGATATGTAATCTTTTCACATATTAATTGAGCTATGCGATCGCCAGGCGCAACCTCGAAATCCTCATTGCTATGGTTGAATAGGACTACACCAACGTTACCACTGTTTCAAAATAAAAAAAAATAAAGTAAATGACAGAAAATTAAAAAATAAATAAATAAAGACAATGACATTCTGACTGCCTCTGTCTATGGAAAGTATACATACCGATAATCTGCGTCTATCACGCCCGCGCCAACATCTATGTGATTTTTCCATGCTAGACCAGATCGTGGTGCAATCCTGCCGTACGTGCCGAAGGGAACTTCTATTTGCAAATCAGTCTTGACTAATTCCTTGCCATGGGCTGGTATAATATACTTGTATGCACTGTATTACACAAGAGAAAAAGCAAATTTTAGGAACGCCCACATGATCTTCTTTGTCAAATTTCAGTGATTATTAAATCATATATACAGAGAAATGCTAGAATCATAATACTCGTCAAGCACATTAATTATTGTTATTAGTTGATTGCTTCCTCTAAGGGCTTATTAAGTCTCTATCTATCGAAGCTTGTACATAACTAAATCCAGCAATTGTAAAACCGATGCCACTCTCTTATATTACTACAGCTACTAGCACGTGCAGAGTGATAGAAATCAGTATCGTTTGAGAATGTACCTTCGTAGATCGTAGCCCGCCGCATAATCCGAGCCCTTCGACGGCGGGAACGCCTTCTCCGACAGCTTCGCGTACTTCAGCACGTTTCCTGACATGACAAAATCGTTAACTTTCGCGAATTCCTCGCAGTCCGATCCACAAGTATGTCAACAATGCTACGCTATGCCACTCCGAGCTTTCGCTAATCGCTTCCCGCCAATTTGCCGGGTTGGCGCCCAAAAAAAATGTGGCGACAAACAGCTGCATCCGGCGTTATTCATCTTATCGCCGCGTATCCATGTGTTTTAATTTTTATGAATCAGCCTGCGAGAGATACGTTTCGCAAAGCTAAAAGAAGACCGTGACATATTTTGGCAATTGCGGTCACCGTGATAACGTGATAACGAAATTAGCTAACGTAGCCGTTGTTTGTGCCGCGGAATTTGAACGTACGGATCTTTCATTTCTCTAATAAAACGAGAAGAAAAATTATTCTTAATGACATTTAACAATGTTTTTTTTAACGTTAAATTATTTTTATTCTGTCATACCAAGGAGTATTATTTGACTATTCCTTTAAAGCTACGGTAAATATAGGAAAAAAAACGTACATTCAAATCCAATACTGTTGGAATATCATTCTTATACAATAGACTATATAGTATGTATATGGATCTATATAGAGACATGTGCTCATAGAGAATATATAATAGTATAATCACCGACGAGATATTATTAATGACCGACACCCTTACGGGAGTTAGCGTGGCTGCTTTAGTAATTGCTAAAATTTAAGCAATTAGTCAATAATATAATATTAATTTAGTGATTTATTGTTAGATCAATGTTTTTTAGACATGTACATTGTAATTCATCTGTATTATAACTATCGCTAATAGTTAATTTGATTTAAAACTGCATTCTGATAGTTACCATACGTGTTTGATTATCCAGAGAGATGGTTAAACAGATGAAAAAAAATGTAATTTTGTGGCGATATATTTGATATCATAGCATTATAAGTATTCATACTTATTTATAAAGCATTTATATAATAAAAATCATGATCTTAATAATGTATTATTCAAATAAATCGCAAATTTGTCAAAAGTCGATAATATCGACACTCTGCAATTACCTCCGGGCCCGCCGCGGGCCCGCCGGGCTAGCACGAGAATTTGCCTAGGGCTGGCGGTCTTTAACTTTATCTCGTCGGTGGTATAATTAACAAAACCACGTGTCGTTTGCGTGCAGGTTAATGTCGGTGACCGACCTCTCGCGCGGCTGCATAAAATTCGGCATACACAGATCGTCGTCATCGCTCGCACGATGTGAAACAGCAAGAAGGTGGAACACGCATGCAAACGTATACCAGTGTTTTGATATTCCGGAAAAAGTACTGCCTCTTTGTTCCGCGTGCGACTGTGCGTTGACGCGCACGCGTGCCTCGCCCCGTGGAAGACGTGGAGATGCGATGCTGCACGCACGCTGGCACACGCGCGCAATTTGACGCGATCACCGATTGCTATTCAGCGACATTGTATACCGATAGCAAAATGAGGCTCACAAAGAGACTTTATGTTCGAATCGTTTGCACGATCGTGAAAAAAAAAATCGATCATGCTTGTTTATAACAACGAAACTATTCCGTCGAAACGACAGCTCGTACTGTATGATCTCGATTAAATTTCAATTCTATAGGCGTTTTGCGAATGGTTTTACAGCGATACGCGGAACTCCAATTAATTTAATCAATAATTAGCCTGATAATTATAATTAATAATTAATTAACTAGCTAAGCAGCAACACTTACGGTATTTTGATATATGTATGTATAATATAGATCGAATTATAAATTTCTTATTTGATACACGAAAAAATAGAGATTATAATGAATGAAAACTATAACAATTTTTGCTGTAAACAGTTCTGCCGATTAAATTAATCGGTGATTAAGTTAATCAATTGCATTTTGATCGTTAAGTTGCTCTTAACGTTTTCTTAATTTCTTTTTAATACTAAACATCATCCTCGCTTTTGTTTTGCCCCTGAATCGTTTTATTTTTAGAGCGATTGAGAGCCTGCCTTGTCTTTTTATTCAAGTTTTTACAGCCGATGTGTTACTGCAGCCCACGATATCGATAAATGGATTATAGGCGGATATTCTGCTGTTAATTGAGTCGTCCACGTTGTATGTATGTACATACGTGCATTAATTACACCTGATACGTGTTCCATTTTTGTTGTATGCCAGCGCGGTTACGATGAGCCTCTTTGCCTGGTGATGTAATGTATGTTACTCGTCGTTGCTGCGCGAGTTGTTTGCAACCCACATATATAGAGCATTCGATAGGAACGTCGATATCTAATCAATCTAATGCCACGAGGTCGAAGGAGTCATTCATTCTTTTCATGGAAAAATGAAGCAAAACTGTTATAAGTTCGAAAATAACTTAAAGAATCGTATGCCTTGACGTTACCGACAAGGTCTGCCCTGTCATACGGAAGTCAGCGAGCGTACGCCCGATGGATCATCGTAAAAGGGCCTCTGATCGAGTCGATGGAGACCCTCAAACTTAACCTTATATCTTTAATAAAACGCGATGCGTGATAAGAAAATTATCACATTTATCGGCTTCCTGATAGAACTTGCTCCGCTCGGTTTCATTTGGGGCGCTGAAAAGGTCGGGTGTCGGCCAGGCGACGAGGTCCATCGCGGCACACGTTCCAATCGTATCTTAAAATACGATTAGAAAATTAAACAAATTATGTTGACAAGATTTGTGCTTCGCGAAATACTCTAGAGAAGTTAATTTTTTGCATTTAAACATCCAAACTTAAAAATTTTATTGAATTGGTTGCTCGGAATCGTAATTCGTAGCTGTAATTTCGATCGGACTCTGATTTAATTATTGCAAAACGATTTAATCGACAAAACAATATGAAGAAACAGCGCGAAATTGCAATGTTAATAAGAATAAATATAAAATATGTAAATAAATATTATATAATTTGAACAAAATTGTATATGGGGAGTTTTACCTTTGCCTTGTTTCATGAATTTTTTTTAAGGAAATCTATGTTATATACAGTAAAGCGCGGGTTTTTGCATAAACTTATATATTATTTCAACAGCAGAAAAAATATTTTTTATTTGTATAAAATATTTTTTATATGTATAAAAATGTATTTTAATGCCTCCAAGTGGCGACTGAATGTGGCATATGTTTTTCGAGCTGACAGAAGTAATTACGAAAAAACAAATTAAGATATCGACTTGATTCTTTTTTTCTCTTAATCCTAATACTCTAACGCATGAACTAAAATCATGATTTTACAATAAACATTTAATTTGTTGTTAAGAAAAATTTAAAAAATTTTTAAAGCAAAAAACAATTTTTTTTTCAAATGCTACCATTTTTACAAATTTCAAGCAATTGACATCATTTTAGTTCACGCTATGCGTTAAAGTATTATACAATCAAAAGGAAACAACAACCAATTAAGTCGATATCTTAATTTTTTCGTAATTACTCTGTCAGTTCGAAAAGCATGTCATTATTCAATCGTCACTTGGAGGCATTAAAATACATTTTTATATAAATAAAAAATATTTTTTTTGCTGTTCAAATAATATATAAGTTTATGCAAAAATCCGCGTATATGTAATACGCGGATTTAATTTACTGTATGTATAATAGATTTCCTTAAAAAAATTCATGAAACAAGGGTTAATTTTACGACTGACAAAGATGAAACTCCCCTTAAAAATAAAAAATAAGAACTGCATGGTTTTTTTTACTTTTTGTATTTAAAAAAAGACCGCTGATAGGAATTATATTTATAACTTAATTATATTGTTAGATGTAAACGCCTATAAAACATTAATTTATGAAGTGCTTAAATATTTCGAGACCGTAACCGCTCAAGTATATATTCTATCTATGTATAACGAGCATATTTTATTCATTAATTTTTTATTTCTCGATAAGATACATTTCAAGGCACTGTGCGACAGAATCGAGACGTAATGTGTTACCCATTGGAAATATTCGTAAACTTGGCTACGTAGTTCATGTGCATGTCATGGCGCTAGTGAATGGGTAAAACGCGGACATATCCGCGCCTCTCAGGCTTCGCTCTGGCAGATACATGTGCACTGGCAGTGTTTTTTTAGCACATCTGATCTGTGTACACATAATTGTGCTTATTTCTTTTTTTTTTTACGATCTCAACTCAACTGCTTGCTGTTTCAATATAATAAGAGAGAAACAAGAGAACAAATTCCAAGACTTTTGAAGATTTCTGATTTTGCTTTGGCCTTGTTTTCCTCCGAATTTTAAGTCTGCGAATTATTTGCAAACTTTCAATATGTCAAGTAAACGTGAGGAAAACCTGTCAAGGGATTTGTTGACTAGTCGATTGGTACATTTATAACATTGCCAATGCAAACAATTATGATATGTATAAAATAATGAAAAATGCAATGAACGGAATTGAGTGCTTCGCATTATATTCTTATGTGTTAAAATAATTCAGGTTAGTGTTCAACAAATTGCTCTTGATTTACCAAGTTTACACAGCGTAGCATTTAGTTTTTTATTGTGTTGCTTTTTAATATGCAAAAAATTTATTAAATATATTATTATCTTTTTATTATTTATAATGTATATTTATAAATAGTTAATTTGCTCTAAATTGATTTCGAATGCTCTTAATGTCATGTTATCACTTACATCCCAGATAGCACACAGAGCCCAAAAGAATTCATTAGTATATTCAGTTTTATGTCATCATTTCTGAGTTCATTTTCAGGTGCAAAAAGAATCCCTTTTAGAAAAAGAATTCTTTTTGCATCTGAAAATGAACTCAGAATTGGTGACATATAACTGAGTTCTTTTTTCACTCTTTGTACTATTTGGGATTTTATCAAACTTATATATAATGTTTTCAGTATAACATTTATTTACTTTAAATACACAGTATTTTTACATAGATATTATATTTGATTGTTTAAATTTCTTTTGCCTAAAAGTAGCTAAGCATTTAAAATAGTTTTTATTTGAAATATGCATGGTTTTGTTTAGTTTTGTCCGAGTTAAAATGTCCAATTCAGAGGCTGGTGTGGGATGCATTAGTGAGGTAACACTCGCGATTAGTAAAGCAAGAAATTCTCAGGCAGGCACCGTGAGAGTTCTTGATAGTCCCAACTCCGATGGATCTGGCCACTCAAATTCATTTACTGTACAACGATTTAATTACACCAATGATAACAATACCAACTCGGATATTCTTCAGTCACCCCTCACCAGTGATGACTTGAGAATACCTATTGTCGGTTATGAGATCATGGAGGAAAGAGCTAGATTTACAGTTAGTTATATATTGATTATAGTTTTACTATTCTATACATTATATTTTATTTTATTAATATAGTTTTAATATATTTTAAATTAAATTACATATTTATATAATTTTTCTTAATATAAATATTCTGCATATACAGTTGCCTTATTACTTTTCACGGTAATAAAACTAAAAGTATATAATAAATATAATGATAAAGATATAAGATAATGATACAGTAATGTTATCTAAAATATAAAATTATGAAAGAATTGTATTATATACTTATATTTTGAAGTATTTTAAACATAGATTTTTTTCTCTGTTCTTGATATCTAGGTCTACAAACTTCGAGTTGAATTGAAAAATGGCGATTGCTGGTTTGTGTTCCGGAGATACACAGACTTTGTTCGATTGCTAGCGCAATTAAAACGACACAAAGTTCCTATTGATCACTTGGCTTTACCAAGGAAAAAATGGCTTGGCGATAATTTTGCTCCAAGTTTTTTGGAAGAAAGGATATGTGGCCTTCAAACATTTGTTAATGGCATATTGGGTAGCCCACTTCTCATAGGTGTTTCGTGTGTAAGAGAATTCTTCTGTTTGGATGAACCACCTATTTTATCTGATACAGCGGAAGAATCTAGAGTGAGTTGCAATATACATCACCTTTGTGGATCTTAATACAATTTTCATGTTATTTTGCTTATAACAAAATATTTCATTCTTTTCAGGCAATATTTGAAGCATTGGAAGATACAATATATAATTTGAGACAGCAACTGAGAGAACGCGATGCAGCACTTGCGTCTGAAAAGGCTCTATGTAATGAATTCCGTAAAAAGCTTCATCAGATATTAAGGTAAGCTAATAAAAAGTACGCTTCTATTCTTTTTACGAAACATTTTAACATTATTGTTTCAGTGAAAGACAAACCTGTTCGAAATGTGGTGCAACTCAATAGTAATTTTATAGACTGCATCATAATATTAGATCTGTTAGAGATTAATATGTACAAATTTTAAATCATGCTGTTATGAAAAAAATACTATATAGCATAAAAATATTTTTTAACAACTTACTTTATAAGTGGGATATTTTTGGGAATGATATTTTATACACAAGGATATTGTATCTTAGCAAAATTTTATCGATTTTACACAGTAAACTATATATAAAGTTTTATTCACAAATTTTTGCATTTGACTATATATTTGATACAATAATTAATATTAATCATTCAAATGAATAACATTTTGTATAGATGTCTTATATTTTTTGATACATAATATAGGTATAAAGATATATTTACAACTTATCCATAGAAAATTTATTTTTATATTGTATAAGATACTTGTTAAAGAGTGTATTCTCCTTAATTCCCCAAAAAGATGTATAAATTTTAAATAATAGTTTCTATTTTAATTTTTATAAAATTTATATTGAATGAAATGTTTAGCGAGCTGAACATCAGATCATAATAATTTTCTTTTCGTTAATAACTTTTTCCGTTACTTTGTTTAGCCGATTAAAACAAAACAAGAAATTGAGGAGAATAAAAAATAACTTTTATATATGTAATATCTTTGATATTTTATGTGAAATTATGCATTCTGTGAACTTTTATACTTTACGAAAAATATACTTGGCGCAAGACGCTACCGCGTTTCTTAATATATGAAATCTCATAATTTATAAAATTAGCGTTAACTGTATAAAAATTTGAATAATAATGTTACTGTATATTAGTTATTGAAAAAATGTTACAAAAAATGCGTAGGTAGGATATTAATTAAAATTTTGTTTTATAAATGTTTTATAAATTCTAATTTAAATATAGCAAAATATGGTTAAATATAATAAATATCTGATATTGTATAAAAGAGAGTATATTGCAATATGAACATTATTTTGTCTTAACATATTTATTATATCTAAAATGTATCAAGAAAGTAATTTATTTAAAATGGTAAAATATTGTAATATCGGACTACTACAATATACAAACTATTATTTTTCCTGTTTATGTGTTGTATTACTCTTATATACACATCTTGATATTTTCTATATACAATACTTCAGTTACGCTCTTAAAAGATAAAATAATATATATAAATCTGTACACAGAAATTCTTCAATCACTTTATATACTATAAGGCACATATTGTTGATTCGTTTTATGCTTATTAAGAATTGAATTTACAATTTATTTTAATAATAAAAAATATATAGTATAAAATAATGCCGTTTTTCTGTGAATGCGTATGTAACGAAATGCATATACGTAACACAAAGAGGAGTGAATGCATTATATGAGCAATTATTACGTATACATACATACACATATATATATATATATTTATATATATAATGTATTTATATATACAACAATGGTAGATTCAAAAGTATTTGGTCAGTCTTCCTTTTCATCTGGAGCGACAATTAGACATAACGCTTGAACCAAGTATGTCAACTTGTCTGGAAAAAAAGAGACAAACACGTAAATTTTATTTACAAATAAAACAAATTATTTATGATGTTAGTAATACATAAATTTTTTATATAAGAAACTTCCATATAGTTTCTTCACCCAGTTATACTCACCTGATAAAGTATTCCTTATCTTCTTGTACACAAATACATGATACACGGCAATACCACACAAGATGAATGCGAGCGCGAAAAGATATTTTATCGATGGTTCGTAAATTATCGGAAGCACCGCAAGGAAGATTGAAACGCACAATATCAGCCACGGTATCACGATAGGTACGGTGTACGGTCTGGGAGCATCCGGTCTGGTCCGTCGCATAATTATGAGCGATATCATCGCCATTCCGTAAAACACCCACATGAGAAAACTGGCGAACTCGATCAGGGCGATTATGTTGCCCAGTAACATGAGAGCCAGCGCGAGTATACACTGAAAAATCACTGCCGCGGCCGGTGTCATCTTCTCGATGTGCACGTAACTGAGGACTCGTGGCACATGGCCTTCCCTGCCGGTGACGAAGCACAGTCTGGCCACGCTGAATTGAATGCTAAGGGCGCATCCGAAGGTCGACAACGCTACGCCGAGCGGTATCGCGAAGCCCATCCAAGGCGGCAGAACTCGATCCGCCCAGAGAACCGCCACCGCCGGCGCGCTTTTCATCTCCGACATCGTCAACGCTGACATATACATCAAGTTCATGGTTACGTATAGAACGGTGACGATCGGCACCGCGATGAGCGTGCTCCGGAAGATATTGACCTCGGGTCTCTGGATCTCTTCGGTAACGATCGCGGCCGAGGTCCATCCGTCGTACGCCCAGAGACCACTGTAAAAGGCCAGGGCAATATTGCCGGCCGACGTGGTGGTGCCGCGAAAAGGATCTTTGAGCAGTTCCATGTGGCCTGTGCCCAGCCACCATATCCCGCCGCAGATCACCACCATACAGGCAACTATCTTGCACACAGTGAACACGTTTTGCACTTTTACGTAGACTTTGACGCTGACGAGATTGATGTACGTTATCAAGCCCAATGCCAAGACCGCTATGAGCTTCTTCAGCATTGCCACGGAGTCGTCGGATAGACCGCAAAGGTATCCGGAAAACGGCTGCGTGCTGTACTCCGCGAAAGTCAATGTGATCACCGCCACCTCCGCCGGCCGTAGCAGCATCACGTAGATCCAGGAGCAGATGAACGCCGGTATCTGACCGGCGTAAGGGTGCAATGGTCCGAAGGCATCCATGAAGTATGCATACTCGGCACCGGAACGTGGTACCACGGTACTCAACTCGGCGAAGGCCAACGCGCCCAACAGGGACAGCACGCCGCAGCTAATCCAAACGACCAAGCAAAATCCCACAGAGCCTGATCGCTCGAAAGCGCTGGTTGGTGACACGAAAATGCCGGAACCTGAACAATAGAGATAACGAGATTGCAGTTAATAGATAGTAATTCAGTAGTTTTTGGCGGAGTCGACCGCGGCATACAGTAACTGGCTAATGTTCCATGACGTGGATGACCGATTAATCTCAATTAACCCTTTCGACATTTTTAGTCATATATAATTATTACGTTGATAAACAAAATATTTGTTGGCCACTGTTGACGGATCATCAATCTGTCGATCGTTGAGAGAGCATTGTCAGAATTTTTATTATTGGGATTTTAATTGGGATATAATTGGGATGAAAGACACGACAAACACGATATTATTTAGTTGCGCTACTTAAGTTACAGTGTTATTATATCGGATAATATAATTTGATATAGATATAATATCAGTATAATTAATCCTCCTCTCTTGAACTGTAAATTCTTGGAGATTCTAAAATAGATAAAGGCTAAGATTTCTACCAGTCGAGAGATAACGCTCGATAAATTTGAAGTTTTAGCTGATTTAACATTTAATCGCTGAGTATTCTATTTATGCTACTGTTGATTTTTACGCACATAAAAAATTCTTTATTTTATGATACTTTATGACGAACTTTTTTATTAACTTAAAAAAATATGACGATTCTAATTTTTGATTTTTTTAACACCCGGTATCTATAAGAACGCGTGAGAAAACATTCCGGACACCGCCAATCAACTGTTAAAATACAAGAGCTTCAATGTATAAAGCGGTGTCTTATTTGGGTCTATACAATTATGTAATTACTGTTAACTGCTCTTAAATTGCCATCTTGCATTAGAGGGTACCACCGCAGTTCTGAGAATGCCATAATTTATGATCATTACTTATTGTGCTGTTTTAACGAAATATTGATATGTGGTTTTGCGATTATACGTTATCTACAAATATATGTAACTTTCGTGATATATGTATACGTACGCGTGATACATCTTGTTGCTCTATGACGAATGATGGTCAAAACAAAAACACAATAAGAATAATTTGTTGGCAAGGGAAAAAGTCAGTGCAGACTTTCTTTGTTCCTAAAGATGTTGCATTGTTTTACATTTGGAATTCACGATCGCGAAACGTATAAGGATCATAACGAAATGACGCTATTCCCTGCAAAATTGGATACTTTCTTAGTTTTCAAAATCAGAAAATTGTCGAGTTTTTAAATTCTATTCTATCGCATGTTTTCTGTTTTACTTCCTATTTTTCTTTCTATTTTACTTTGTGTAGTGTTTTTAATAAGCCGTTTTTCTCGCAAATTTTAAACAAGTAATGTCGTCATTTGTAGAATTTCTTTTGTGGAATTGATTAATTCCGATATACATAACTTTGATCAGTAGGTTAAAAAAAGAGGAGATCAGACGTATATAGAATAATATTTAACATTTTTTAAATATGTTCTTATTATACAGTTTTATCATACTAATTAGGAACATCTGTACAAAGATAATTTGGATAATAATACGTTATTCAAATATGACGCATTTTTGGGATTAATTTTTGTCATATAATTACTTTTGCTATCTCTTTGCGTCTTGATACAGATGTTCCTCAATTCAGTCGAAAGCGAGTTATTCTTATATCGCTTTTACGCAATCCCTTTTACTTACGGTCGGATAAACGTGATCACATTAATATGCTATGAAATTCGATTCACAACGATCTAATTGTTCATTGTATCGTCGAACAATGCCGAATGAAAATAATTTTCGTGACTTGCAATAAGAGCGCGCATCGTACCGTATCTTTTTTTAGCAGCGAATTTACGAGATCGCCTTCTTTGTGTTGCATTGCGATTTATCGCACGAGCGCGATTGCGAGAATGGGAGTGTCAGAGATCGGCAATCCGCAAATAAAAAATAATATGTCATGGATTTCCATCTTTATCATCTGTACGTGTTGCAATTCGTGCCGCAGTTCCACAATCTTGATCGATCTCGCGGAAAATCGTGACACGAGAATATGAGATCGTGCGCGGTGTGTAGAAAAAAAAACGTGTGCACGTGTAACGCACACGATGTTTAATTTAAAATTCATCTGGCAGATGCGAGATAAATTCTGATCGAGATTTCTTTTTCTTTGATCGCGTTTACGGGCGACGATTGCATTTACGATTCGCGTATCCGCGGGAAGTTGGATGATGCTTAGTCAACAACCGTGTCTTACCTATCATCACCGCCACAATGATGCTGATCGCGCTGAAGAGCCCCAGCTCTCTCTTCAGCTCGATTTTCCCGACCGTCTGCTCCTTGCTTGCCATTTTTTCTGTCGTTGCCATTGCGCCGAGAAACGAGGAACGAGAGCGCGGAGCACGTTGTATACGATTCACCGACACTGTCAACAGTGATTCAAAATTCAATGACACATCGCATGGACTGCTGGGCTTTCTGTTTGACGGTGGAAACGGTGGTGGCGGAAGCGGCGGAGACGACGACGGCGGCGGCAGCGGTGGCGGTGGCCTTTATCTTCTCTGAACAGCACTCCGTCGACGACGCTCCACGCGCGATGGTAGCGGGCTCGACCACGCGACTGAAGCTATTGGGTGGGTTTATCAGCTACCAGAGCTCCAACTCGAGACTGGACTGTTAATGGATCAGCTTGTCATCTTATTCCCTTTTTTTTTTCGCGGACACTGGCGCGCTGATAAGGAGATATTCATCCTCGTCACGGAGAGTCCGCTATTTTTCTCGATCATCGAGCTATATAGAGAAGATAAACGAATCGTGTAGAAATCGACATTCTGCAAACGCTAAACGTCGGAGACAGTAAGATTTGCCATCTGGCAACTAGCAATTATCGCTCACGTGAATAAACCGGGCTACGTTAAACGGTTTGTTTGCCCGAATTCTACGTGTCTGTTCCGTAAATCGGGACATCTAATCAGCTAAGTCGTCATCAAGCTTCTATCAGTACGCAACCGGTACCATTGCAACCGAGCGATAAATAGATAAGATAGCAATTCAATTTTGTCTTTCTGGTGTTTCTGAATAGAGTCTTTATAATTGTGTCACAGTCCGCGACACACGATAATTACCATTTTTAGTAATTGTACCTTGACACCTTGATTGTGTCATTAAGTTCGCATAGATCAGCAATGACTCATTCTATTTTACTTAAAATTCTGTCGACAAATAAATTAAGTCTACTGGAAATATATAACAATAAAAATTCCGAACAAATATATTTTTTATTACATTTGTAAAAAAGAGGAATCCTGCAATGCTCCTGCGTTTCAATATTCAGCGCTGAAAATCTATAGCATATGCAATGTATTACGTGCACTTATTCAGCACGTGCAGTTCAGTGCTAACAGTGAATATCGGAACCCAGGCCTAATAGAACGAATATTTGTGCTTGAAGGTTTTTTTTTCTTTGGAAAAATGAGCTAACTTGTTATCTTTCCTATTTCCATAAAAGCATATATAATTGCATTGCAGACTTATCGATGTTCAATGTCGTTCACGCAATTAACTAATGCATAACGCAGCATTTCGAAATTACATACTTTTCTGTCGACTGAAGCAAAATGGTAAGTATGTCAGAAGTACTCTGTGTAGAGGACTCTCGTATTTTATAAATATTACATATATTGTAATAATCAATATTAGCTAAGAATTTGCGTTAAATTGTTTTGTATTAAAAACTTAAAAAATACACTTACTGGACGCAAAAAAAATTTCTGATGATATAAGCTTAAAAAGAAATATATTCGCAGCATTGATAAAATTTGAAATTTATGATTGTTGATATATATTTTTCAAAACTACATTTTTGTGAAATATTAGCTTGGCCGAAAATTGTGTTGGCAATCATTGTACAGAGCAGAATTATACAGAAAGAATGGATTAAGTAATACACGAGATTATCTTATATCGTTAGAGCTACTAAGTTTTAAGTGAATAATCGTTTTGTCTCATGACGTTAAAATTATTGCAACATCCTGTATATACCTACTTATCTTATCTTTATAATATATGTATATTTTATACGTTACACAATCTTATAAATATCAATGTGTCGCTACGTGACGAAATTACGTTCCACAAACGTTATTTTTCTGTCTGAGTGAAATTATCTCAATTCCGATTGAAATACACTTGATTTAAGATAATTAATTTGATTAAAATCTAATCAGTTGAATCTAATTTCGATTCAAGAGATATATATTAACATTTTGATTGATAAAATGAGGCAATTCACTTTTGCCATGTTATAATATATCAGTTGCGATGGATTATAGCTTTATTAATTTCATTCTGATACATTATAATAATTCTTGCATTATTCTAATATATCTGAGAGAAAAGAGATTTGCTAAAATTATTAAAAATATTAATTCTTTACAACTATTTTACACAATTAATGTGTCGATTATATAAATTGAATTTCGCAAATTAAAGCGGAAAGGTATAAGTAAAAGTTTTTGTATACTCGTAAGATTTTAGCAAAATATTAATTAAATTAAAGTGATATAATAATATATTAATTTAATTAATAAATAAAGTAATATTGCTAAAGCAATATTAATAACAAATTCCGACTTTTGCAATTTTATTATAAAATAAATAATCTAGAAGCTAATTATATAAATATATATATAATAACTTGTAAATCACTATAAGTAAATCAAATTGTATATTTGTAAAAATTTATCATTTACATAATTAACACATTTTTACACAATTAATTAATGTGTATCGATATAAATTGAGTTCCGCAAATTAATTAAAGCGGAAAGGTATATACATATATATATATATACGATTGTATAAGATTTTAGCACAATATTAATTAAAGTAAATTAATATAATAATATATTAATTTAATTAATAATTAAAATAATATTTCTAAAGCAATATTAAATAAAAATGCTTGTGACTTTTGCAATTTCATTATAAAATAAATAATTTAGAAGCTTATATAAGTGTATATTATAATCACTATAAATAAGCGCGAAATTCTATAATATTTGTATTTAAAAATTTATCATTTACATAATTAACAATTCCTGATAGATCGACGTCTATTATAATTAAAAGCATTTCTCATTGGCTAATCCAAAAAATGTTCGCCTCGATTTCGGAATCTCGTGTCTCTCGTGACAGTCATGATAGCTGATGACAGCAGTGGATAAGTAGAGTGGTGTTTCGAGACTTCCGAGAGTTCCGAGTACTCGCTTAAATGAGGTTAGGTACCCTTCCCTAGGTGAGGTTAAGTCGTCATAGGCGCGTGCCGCGTGCAACGTGTTTGAATGCGCTAAAGAAGTCTGTACGCATACGGTATCTCTGTCTATTGCAAATTCGAATGAATCGAAAATGAGCGACGAGGAGCAGAACGAGTTTTACTTCGAGTCCGATCATTTGGCACTGAAGGGCAACCAGGATTACAGCGCTTTCCTGAAAACGATAGTTATCCTCGAGGCTCAGAGAGCTCAGGCCATAAAGGATCTGGACAAGCTCATGTCCGTGCGTGCCGAGGCACTGAAGGATCCGATTTCGTTCGTTGCGAAGCTGCAAAACGGCGATCTCCCAGAGCTACCTGGTCCGCAGAAGATTCCGGAGATTCCCTATATCGACTGGTCGCAGTACAACATCGCATTGCCGGATGGACGCATGAGGCCGCAAACTCGACATGGACACGTGTTGCCTCAGATGCAATCAAAAATTGAACAGGAAACTGGAAAGGTATGTATCGATGTTACGCGTGTACTTAGAAACTTTCAATACTTATAATATCATTTTGCAGATCTTAGTCAGGGGTCGTGCCTTCGATGAGAGTAAGCCTGAGACCTTCAATCAATTGTGGACAATGGAAGAGCAGAGGCGACTCGAGCAACTCTTAATCGAGTATCCACCGGAGGAAGTGGAAATGAGACGTTGGACCAAGATAGCGAATGCATTAGGTATGTTAATAAACATATGTTGCTTCGCAATCGAGATGTTACAACTGTTTCCCTTCCACAGGGAATCGAACGCCTAAGCAAGTATCCAGCAGAGTGCAAAAGTACTTTATTAAGCTTTTGAGGGCAGGCTTGCCCATACCAGGCAGAGGACCTAAGCTAAAACTGGATGTCAAGAAAAGTCTAACCCACAAACAGCGTAGCAATCACCTCTTATTTAAACGTTCGACCTTCTTCCCGCATCAAGATATTGCCTTTAGCTCAGACGATAGTAAGGAACAGCCTGTAGCAGAGGAATCTGTAAGCACTGTACACATTACTGTGTTATATAAAATGTTAAATAGATATTAGAAGTTATTAATTTTATTAGTGAAAATTCAAATGTCTCAGTTTAATTCTTGACTTCTGTATTTAAAGTAGCCTACCAAATGCTTAAAATAACTAGTGATTACTTTATCTTTGGATTTTATCTTTATATTTTACTATTGATAATTTTATACTGCCTACGCGCTACTTCTTTTTGGCTCTCCACAGTTTTACTGGAAATTATTTTAACTTATTAATAATGTACTGGAAAGGACCCAAAACAAGAATTGAAACGTCTGTCTATGTATTAATTCAAATTAAATTATTAATGTATTTTTCCAGGAGGACGATACACCAAATGGCAGTAGCGACGATAATCCTGAGTTAAGACAAATAAATTTATTGCGCCAAGTGAAGACTGAAAAGGAACAGGACTCTCCTGCATACAAACATGTTGGATATAAAGTATGTATATATTATTTTTTTTTATACAGACCTATCAAATATTAGTAAGAGAGTTATACAATACTTTTCCTACAGTGTATGGTGTGTGGTGAGGAACCTTTAAAGGGTACCAGATGGCATTGTACAGAATGTCATAGTGGAATTGATCTATGTGGTGATTGTGCAGTAGCACAATTGGAAGCAGAAAATCCCTCACACGATCCATCCCATAGATTAATTCCCATAAAACCACCATCATATACCAGAAGTTATGACTTAGATTATTTTCCCCAAAATTTTAGTAACTCTTCCTACAATTATCTTGATCCAAATTTTCTGCCCGAATAACTGAAATAGGTAAATTTCTTCCAAATGAAATACAATGTACAAAAAATATAAATAAAAAATAATTTATTAAAAATAATGTTTATACAGCAGTGGATTCAGGGTTAGTAGTTGTATACTTTAGACGAATTTTTGTCTGAAGTTGATTGAATGTTCCTTTTTTTATACTGTCACGAATGACCCTGAAGAATTCAAGATAATGATGGATATTGTGTCTGAAACGTTGATTAATCGTTAATTAACAAACATAAAGATCAACTAAATTATAATTTATAAATACCTACATCATTAAGAGTACTAAAGCAAGCATTTCCTTGGTATGATGCAAATGATGGATATATGCTCTTGTATGATTTTGACACGCGAGACACTCGCATTTTTTACAAATAGGGGAAAAATCGTCTGCATACCTAGAAAAAAAAAATATATGAAAGCATGCATTATATTTATACATTTTTACATTACATATTTATTTAAAATGTCTTTTTTTTATCTTACCTCTTTTCTGCTATTGACATTACACACTGATTGTTCCCACAAGTATCGTGATCGCACATGAAAGTTAGAGCCTGCGATTGTTCAGTAATTATGTAAGGATAGGATGAATCAAATACATCTACTCCTAATTCAATGAGATCCAATACAGTAGTTGGATTCCAACAACCCATTGACACTCTGATTTTATCGATAGGTAGCAAGTTCTACAAAATATTGCAGCATATCAAAATATTTTAAATATCATAAGTTGTATAAATTTTTAAATTTAAAACTGATATATACTTACGACGGTATGCTGTACTACTTGTTTAATTTGTTCTAATGAGATATTCTGTACATTTGGCCCGTTATTGTGTAATCCATCTATTACGAATCCTGCCAAAGGCTTATCTTTTAGATAATCTATGGACTCTTCCCTAGCCTGCAAGTTATAACCACCCTCCACTGGTCCTAGTATTCCTTTCGATTTCAAAATATCCGAGCGTAGATGGATATCTAAACATTGTTCAAGTAAAGTTTTACTTCGGCGCACCGCCTTTGATACTCGTTTTGCACTGCTATTAACATTTGTATCTCCATCACATAGAGCAACATATAGATCTGGCTTATAAGCTTTCACAAGTTCCATATATTTATTGGCTGAAACAACAACTCTTCCTGTTCTGGACCAGACAGAAATAGAATCTAATTGCTGAAAGCCAGGATTGGTGGTATACGCAGGGTCGTGTATCGATAAAAAATTTATATATTCCTGCAATCAAGTCCTTTGATACTACTTCAAACTAACAAACTGAAACTTCAATGTATAGTCCAATAATTTTATTTATATCATACCTTCATACTAACAAAATCAGCAAAAGAAACATCTAGCTCTTTAATAACATCTTCCATTAATATGGTTGAGGGAAGAGAGACAGTTAGTAATTGTTCCTCTGTTGTTACAGTTTTAAAGACGTCCTTTGTCAAATGTGGTACGCTACCAGCCTAAAAATGATATTTGATGTAAAAAATCCATATATATATAATTGGAGAAAGAGATTTTATTTCATACCTTTGTGTAAATAAGAAGCAAAGGTGTTTCAAAAGAAATATTTGGTAATCTTTCAAATCCACTTAATGTACCAATTCGTGCAGCACAACGTGCTACAGAGTCAGTGAAAAATTTCATTCTTTTATTATATTTATTATCTTTCTAGATTCTTTTCACAGTACAGCAACTGATGAATATCACGTAATAAATACAAAAATTGTTAAATTTTCACTATAATACATTTATGGACTAAATATATGTATTTATCGAGAATCTTTTATTTAATCTGATAATAAGTAATGGGAGCAATCATTTAAAGATATATTGTATATGATTACACGTGACTTGAATATAACCTCAAAACACAATTTTCAAATTTTACAATATTAATATTAAATCATTCACAGATCGAGTTTATGTACTTTTTAATAAGTAGAGATAGAGTAACAATAATAATTATTAAAAATACAATTTAGAACGAGGCATCTACATTGAAGCACCAGTGACAGAAATATTGGACAAAAATAATTGTCACGTTTTTAGTGGCACAACAAATGCCAACTGATTCAAAATCCCTAATTTTCACTAGATAAAATAATTGCGAGCATAATTATTATTCCAAACTATTTTTATTATATATATTTATTATTCGAAAAATATTTCGTGTAATAACACGATTTATTTGAATATTTAAAAGTGATAAATTATATTAAATAAATATTTCATAAATTTTGTATTTTTATCGAGCGAAGAATTTGAGTGTAGAACGTGCAGAGAATGCTAGTAAGAGGAACAGATGTCGGGATTACTGCACAAAGTTGGCACTACAGCGCCGCATGCGCTCTTCGAGAAATTTTGAAACGTTAGTTACGGAGTATGTCGCGATGGATATGGACGCGTCGCGAAATCTTTATGCATTTCTCGCGATCATTATTGTTTAAAAACGAATTCTGCGGGCAAAGTATCATCGGCAGTGACTCGCGAAATGTTCGGTGCAACGGAAATAAACGCTGCACGATTGCCGTTACGCACTGTTGCTGCGATCTTGGTGCCGAGTTGCACGGTATATCGTCAAGTACGTATATGAATCCCATGTAGATTTCTAACTACCCATTTTGCAATGATTTTGCAGCTCTACTAGCATTTCTGATACTAGATTAACTCGAATAATTTCGAGAAAAATACTAGGAAACTATAGATGATGCGCGAATACAGTATTATTGTGTATAATACAAATGCACGACAATCCCATCAAGTGAATTCCATACGATCGTAGTATCATTCGCGTGGGCGGCGTGCCGAATATTTTCCAGAGATTCGTTACATGCATGAGTTAATTGAGATATGCTTCGACCATGTAGTAATTGATAATATTAAAATACAACGTAATTTAGTAGTAATAGTAGTTGATCGCGATCATCTTTCGTATTAGCTGCGATATATATATATATATTGTTTAAATTTAAAAAATAATTTAAAAATATATATACACAGAAAAATTAATATAATAACAATTATATTATCTTATTATGCAATGAAATGAATTCCTTCTCTATATTTCTAGTAAATATATTTAATTCGTAAAGACACCAGATATATTTTTAGAAATAATATAATTAATAATTTTGATAAAGTGATGTAATTTCTTGCAGAAATGATTAAAAAATATTTTGAAAATTTCTTAAAAATTTCTTAAACATTTTTCCAAATTTTTTAGATTTGAATTTTTTATTTATTATTTTCGTTTACATTCCATCAATATTTTTCTATCAATATATTAATAGGAAACAGATTATAAAAGAAAGCAGATATACGTATCATGAAATATTTCTTTATTTGTGCTGTACAGTTTCAAATTTCGAAGATTACAATCTCGATTACAATCTCTCAGATTACAGTATATACAATAATAAAATAGTGCGTCTCTTTACAATTGTGATGTTATATACAATTTGTGCTAAATACGTAATTTACATCCGGGACGGACCCTCGAAAATCGTTATCGTTCGCAAATCAATCGTAAGGAAACAATCGACTTCGCTCGCGTTTCTTTTTAACCAAATTTGACGATTTTGTTAGTATAGCAGATGTCATTTTAGTGGAGGCAAAAGAAAGTTACAAATACATATCTATATGAAACACTGGTTCGAAATTTTTGCCCACAGGCGATTGTCTTACATGCGCCTTTGTCAGCGCATGAATAGGCAATTGGAACTACATTTACATTTATCTCCGAGGATTATGAATAGTCTGTTTCCTCGCACTAAATTAGAACTCGGATGATATAACATTGCGGAGAAGGAAAAAATCAATTTAATCTCCGCCATGTATATCTTCCTTTCATCGATATTAGATTAATTTCTATATACCAGTGATATTGCTTAGCTGAATAATATTTCGCTGACGTATATACTGACTTTTTTCGGAATTATCCGATACGCGAATTAATCCGATCACGTATGCGGTATCTATCTATCGGCAAGTTTTATCACAATATGTGAAATTTCACAATATTATTTCTCTCTTCTACATTTTTTGTTAATTTTGTCTCACAATTAGGCAAGAAACGTTAATTGCTCTGCTATTAACAGTATTAACAGGATACATATAAAATAAAAAAGTGTATTTTCGCATCATTATCATTTTGAGATAAATTATTAAAACAAAAATTTTGTGATAATTTTTTTTATTGAATTATTATTTCGAAGAATAGATCTGATTGCAATGTTAATAATTTAAAAAAAATTGTTTTGTATTTAAATAAAATTAGAAAGAATATTTTTAAATAATAATACACAAAAACGTTTAAAAATTGATTTATAAAATTGAATGTATTAATGTATATAAATATATTAATACATACAATTTTATAAATTATATAAATTTATATAAATTTTATATGTATCCTTTGGGCAATGACAGTTATGATATGTAAATTCTATTTTGTGACACGGCAGTTTTGTATCAGTTATTAATGCATATTAATTACAAAATATTTTACTTTCGCTCTAACATGTCTTTTTGAAATTACAAGGTAAGATATATAACAGCATTCTTCGAACTCTCGCGTTTCTCGGTTGACGTGTCAAAATGGTACATCGCAATACGCGATGTCGGCAATTTGTACAATAATCGCAGGAACGTTTGTATAGCGCACATGAAATGTATCGGCCGACGAATGTAAAGTTCTTTCGCGGTACTAAATCATTTCTTCTTCGCGTTATTACATGGATGAGTAAGCGAGATGGAATCGAAATGGCATATTGTAGACAAGACTTTCGCAATGATAGATTTCTAGGTTCTTCAACGGTTAATCGAAATTTTTACGCAATCGGGTCTCCTTGCGGCCGATACCTGCTGCGCCACTTTATATATATTAATATAATCGATTGCCGCTATACGTACGGCGAGATGTCTAATTTAATAGCGCGTATAATTTACAATATGCATATATACAGTACGTTTAGTAAAATTTACAGGAGCTGTAGAAATATTTAACATAAGATACATGCACTCGCGTTACGGCAATGCGTTATGTGAGAAATCGTTGCAACCTTCGTTTACTGACTAAATAATTGAAATGATCAACGACTTCCCTCATGCATTATTCATATACACCTGAAGTCTCGCAATTATGACATAAGATGTACAGTGACTCGCTCGATATGTTGACATTGACTGTGTTCAAAGTACAACTAGATATGTGCATAATCAGGCTTTGCTGCGACATAAAGGCACTCGCAATACACGTACACGCGTGGAATGAATTGCTAGCGGTAACTAATAATTATTAGCACGGATCAGTGAATCGCGGCCAAGATCGGCAATGTTGCAGTGCAACGCTTTACCGCGATCTTTAAAATACCTCGTCGAGGAATAATTATAAAACTAGAGCGATTAGGTCATAGGTTGACGTCAATATAGGGACGCTCGTGTTAAACATAATATCTATGATGAAATTCCATATTTCGCATTGGTTCGCAAGAGTTCTTTTTTTGTACTTTTTTTATAATGAAATTTTGTAATATTAAATGAAACCTTTCAAAAGACTCAACAAAGAGGCTTCTCTTTTTTAGTGATATGAAATTCGAACATAATTTATTATTAACGTTAAAAGATTTTTAATTTCTTTAGCCTGTACTAATATCTTTGTATATATTTGTCGAATCCTGATTATAATTTTAAAGAGAAAAGAATTATCTTTTTGATATTCGCGCACTCGTTTTTATTTCATTTTTATAATAGAACCACAAATATATTAAATATATTATTTTTAAATAAAATAAGGAATAAATATTCAGACAGTTGTGAAATAAATAGTAACACGTAACAGTATGATATTTCCACACAATTATTCGCAGATGTTGAATTAATCTTAATTAATTATACGTGACACCAATTTTACTTGTTATTTGCATAAGAAATTATGTATTTACTAATGAAGCTGATATTCTCACAGTTTTATATTAAAATCAAAATGAATTATGATTTTATGCACAATTTTATTTTTAGAACATAAAATCAATAAAAATGAAAAAGGGAAAAATATCGGAAATCGTTGCGTATTAAAAATAGAGATCAATCATAATATAAATGTTAGAGGAAGAGTAGAATGATTAAGTTTTCTTTTCTATGTATATACTCCAATTATTTTATCTGAGAAAATAGAGATTTATAATTGAACTGCACTTACAGTTTATCGATATTAGAAAATACTTTTATATAGCACTGATTCATCTAATGATTTTTCTTCTGCTCCAGTTCGTATAATTTTTAAGATTTTTGCAATTTTCGTAACCAAAATCGATGTCGCCAACTGGAACATGTGTAGGATAAAGTCGAATACGTGAAGAACAACAGAAACATTCGCCATGTAATGAATTCTTGCGTGAATTCTTGCTTGCATGCGCATATGTGTGCGAACTCGGGTTCGGGAGGGGCAAGGAGAGGGACCTATGAAGGGAGGGAAAGGTGCGGGAATCGCCAACACATATCTCGATATCTCACAGTTCGATCTCTCGAGTCAGCCGCTCGTATATTTACATGTATAATTTATATATCCCGTGGTCCGAACGAACATGCGGTGCGTCCGGCCAGGGCGGGCCCAGAGCCGTCCTTACGATCGTTCTGGGACGTCCGTCGAATCCCGCGCGAGTTATCCTAGCGCGAGAAGGTATTGTAAAAGGAAGCCCCGGCTCGAGAGAAGTTCGCGGGAATTCAGTTGCGCGAATTCCCACGATCGTTAGGCGACGTCGATCGACGGTTTGAAAATCTCCTCGGAAATTCTGCGTTTGCACTTTTCGAACGACATGCGTTCCTCTCGCAAATTAAACGCGACAAGCGGAGTTAAGCCGGTTATGCGGGACGGATGCGATCATTATTTTGTACTTTCATTTCTTGCGGTAGAAGCAAGCTTTGCAATGAAACCTGATCCCCACTGGCGAAGATTGTAGATTTGATCGTACATGCTTGCTAAACGCTTGAAGTATAACAATTACAAAATATAATCATTTCTTTTTTTTTTCAGCCGAAAAGTTCAACTTTTTCATATTCGCTGTCTCATAAGAAAATAGCAATTGCTTCTATCATTTTGTCTTGTGCAAAATTTTAAGTGTATCAATGCGAATTGCATTAAAAGGTTAATTTAAGCTTCAGTGCGATGATATATCTAAAGGAGTATCGAAATAAAAATAGGTTCGATAAATTACACATTTTAGGATATTTCGCGCGGTTCAAAGTGACGTCTAGACTGCAAATAGCGCAAGTATAGGAAAGATTTGATATTGTACTGATTTTCGCATTATGTGAGGTAGATTAACACACACGTGGTGGTCTACGGTCTATTTCGTGTTTATCTTATCACAACGAAGGGCAACGTCGTTAGGAGATTTTCCGCGATAAAACGCGACGCGACGCGAGTTAATCTACCTGGGATGCGGATTACGAGAGATCCGAGTAGCGGCATTTCGGAGATTGCGACTTCAAATTACCCGTGAACACGCGAGCCTGCTAGGAGTTCCGGCGCGCGCGCGACGCAGAAGGCGTGCGAAGGGAAACGAGGCGGGCTTTAATTAAACGAATTCCATAATATGTTCTCGTTCGCGTAACACTGCCGTGATAAGGGCTATACTCCCGACCGGGCGCGACGACGTGGCGCGGTTGTGGGCTATTTTTTTTGGCGGTATACCATTATATATAATGCAGCACCGAGAGTCGTGCGGGCTCTCCCCGCCGCCCGCCATTGTGGCCGCGAGGGCACGATTAATTATAGCGTATCCACAGAAGGAACGCATTGTTGCGTTTGTGTTGTTTGAACGCTCGTGTTGTGTGTGTTGCGTGTACCTATGCCTCCCAGCTATGCGTCTCGATACCCTTACGCGTTTTGATGATTTGGAAAATAGTCAGCCGTAAAAGTCATTTTCAAGAGCAATGTCCGATACGTTAATTAACCAAAGGTAACGAGTTACAGATTAGATATTTGTAGAATGCGCGGAACTTCCTTTCTGAAGCATGGAAATATTGGAATATAATTAGGAAAACGTATCATTTGCATTAGGAATTACATATGAAAAGCGACGATCGCATTTTTACCTAACAAAAAGTAAAATTCACAATGTGTTGATTACAGATACTTCTTGAGAGCTTTATTCCTTTTTATCGCAACGCAATTTCCAATCCAACACAACAACGTTCCTTTATTCGCATTTTCCTCAGTTAAGCACGTGGTAGTTAGGAACTTGGAGAATCAAATGATTCTAAAGTTATTTTCATACATTTACAGTGAGACGCGTTTAGGTGAGCGCCGGGCATTCTCGTGCGTTTCGTACAGCGCCCGATCGAACGTACGTACGTGTGCGTGAGCGCAGGTGAGTTAAAGGTGAACGACGTGAAATGCGCACGGGAGAATCCCGAGAGGCGAAGCGAGAGAATGCTTCGTTCTTCTCGGATTCGTGTCCCGAAGTGGGCAACAATCGGCTTCGCCTGAGAATGTAATTAAGAGAACACGACGGCGACGATTAAAACGATTCCCTGCCGAATCGAGCGAGACGAATTAATTCTGCCGTCAATCGGGAATCGATATAAACGAATGAAACTGATACGCCGAAACCTATTTAGTGCTCGAGCGATAATCCCTCGCGTGACATGCGAACGCGATTCAATGTGCGATTTCTCGAATGAAGTTTATATACCATTACATATTTACATATATATAGCCAGTGCTGCCAGAAATATTTCCCACAATTTGCCATATTACAATGACAAGGCCATGAAGACAATTTTATTGTGAGCATTATAACTTCGTTTGCTATAATGCGTCCCTTCCGTTTGCCAATGAAAGAGAAGCAATTTCGTTAGCCTGAATACTTTAGCACAAATTTCGGTGAATCAGGACAACGAAGTCAACGAAGTGGTTATATAGACAAGACTTAACAAGCAGTCTTTTTAGCCATTAAAAAATACCACTGCGATTGGTAGTCTGCATTGTGGCGCAGTCTAAGTCCATCTCGTATGAGAGTGAAAGACAGAAAATAATACAATAAAGAGGTTTGCCGAGGTATTTCGTGCGAGTATCGTATATACGTAACTTCGTTGAGCATCACGATCCGCCGACTTCGCGGCACGGAATTCTGCAATTTTCCATAATCGAGGCACGCACGTGAAAACGAGACCTCATTTGCGCGCGGCGAGCATGGAAGGATGCTGGTTGAGAATGCCGCGGCGGCGGCGGCGACGACGGCGGCGGCGGACGCTTGGAGAACGCGGACGGATGTAGCCGAGGGCGCTGACTGGCAGCCCCGAACGTCAAATTACGGGGCACCTGCTCTTCAAAACGACTTCATTTCATTCGTATCGTGTAGGCATTTCGAATCTACCGTACGCGCGGCTTCTCCTCGCGGTAACGTCTACAATCATGAAAATACCCGATTAGATTCCCGTATTAACCCTCTAATGCGTTAGAATCTCGCGCAGGACCCGACGAGCCTGCTTCGTGTATAGCAGTTAAGATTGAGATAAGTTGTATGTACAAGACACTTCATTTCTCTACTGCATTACTTGTTAATCGGACGCTCTTTTGGTCAATTTAAAGTCGATTTTTTTTCTCTTAGCGAAAATGTCGAAATTGTTTATGCCGCAATTTTCCAATTTCCAGCTTCATTTTCAATTCATTACAATTCATGTCGCCTTTTTTTCTTATATATATGTATATGGACTATCAAGTATAATGCAAGGTTCCTTTTCCTATATGCAATCTTATCCCATCAGTGGAGCTGCGGTAATTTGAACAGAACGATGTTTTATAGCGTTGCCGTCGATCACTCACGTAATGTAGGTCTGAAATTTCGCTTCCCCTTCTTTCTGATTGACATGAACGGTGGCAGAAATAATGGGGGGGATCCATTTTTTTTCGCCTAGTATTGGTTGACTTTCGCAGGAACGCCGGGGCGGCATCAATTTATATCTCGGCGTGTTATTACTGATTGGAAACCGCAACGCGCGATTCTTCGTGCGCGGTATCATTACGTTTTTGCTTTACGTTTACCGAGTGGAAATCGAGCGCGTCACGCCTGAGCCGGTACCGTATAGTTACTCGAAATATCCGCGCGCCAGGATGTATCTTAAGGCAAACGTGAACACATAAATTTATCAATATTCTAACGAGAGCGTAATCGCGTGTTCAGACGCGGCTAGCAGTTTGATTATTTTTGTGCCGAGATCGCGCGCAGGTTTTGTTGACTCGGCGCAGAATAGCGCTTAATCGTGTATTAATTCCGCCGGCACGATTTTCTCTGGTCACTTACCTGCCAACCGGTTTATCTTCCGCTTGTCTTTCGCCGTTTAAAAAAAAAAAGTATCAAGACATTGAATACCTAGTATTTTATTAGCGCGTAAAAGCAAAAGGGGAACGCGCCGCGATGCCGATCGATTCGCGTCGCTTGATCCGTCGATTCGCGTGTCTCGAAAGTCGATTGTCTTAACAGGACCACAAAGTGTGGCGACAAAGGAGCAAGTGGAGCGTTGCCGGGCAAGAAATCGATTTTATCCGGAACCGGTCTCCGATACATCCGCCGGTTTAAACAACACTCTTACCAAACGTGATCTTTTCAATTCCTCTTGTACGGGCAAAACTTAAAACTGAGCACCGTGAAACATTGTCTTGAAGAAACTTTCGAGTCACGACGACAGCGACGAAAAATTTCACAGTCTTTCGTCTCCACCGACCTCGCACCTCCGATTATATCCCTACTTTTTATTACAAGGACAACTTTCTATCGTCCTTGCGTGAAAACGAATTAAATTATAATTATAAATACTACGCGAAGACACCTCGTTCACAAAGCGAACGCACGTCGGTATAATTGTCTATTACAAATTTTACACGTCACTTGTGTTCCGGAAAGATCATCTTTCAAATATAATCCGAAGGCACTGTTGTCTCGTTGATCGCCGCCAGTCTGTACTGCGGCGTGTCCAGATTCTGCGGATTCAGGTGCAAAGTTGTTGTCGTTGTTATCGTTGCCGTCGTCGCTGCCGTCGCGGACGGTACCGTCGCGGTCGGCATCTGCTGATTCGCCGAGTTCGAGCTGAGATCGCTGTAATAGGCACTGCTGGGAGCACTGCTCAGCGTCGGACCGTCCGGCTCGGCGTCGCTTCCGGTGTACGCCGTGTTCTGGTACGAGGGATGATGCTCGCTGTTCCTGCTACCGAGCCTCAGTTCCTGATGATGATGGTGATGATTGTGGTGATGGTGATGCCGGTGATGATGCTGATGCTGACCCGGCGGTACCGGCGTCGACGGCCCATTCTCGTACATCTCGTAGTCCGGCTCTTGTATCCTAGAAGCATCCGATAACGAGGCTCTCGATAATCACTGGGCGACCATTCGACCGTGTGTCATTAACATACGCAAGGCGTATCGACCGTATCGATAACTGCCGATTACGCGGCGACGCGTGTCGGATGCGCGCGCGTTACAACGGGCAATTAGGATCTCTTAGAAGGCGTTGCCATCAGAATAAAATCAGTATTGAACTCGTTACCAGTCTAGGAAGTCGAGAAATAATAGACCGTTATGTATGATTACCGGCTTCCATCGATTTCGCAGTCATAGATCATGGAGCTTAATTAATCTATTAAAAATTAATGAACAATAAAACATTTTAATATTTTGCCAACAACAATTTTGTGAGTATAACAATCATCGACTCTTTAATATCTTTAGAATATCCAAATTCATTAATTCATAACGTTTCTAATGTAGTTATCTTACTTTATTATACAATGAACACAATCTTCTTGTATTTAATAATTTCGATACAAAACTGGAAGCGGTTGGCTCACCTTTTACTATGTCGAGTGCGAAGTGTATCTGTCTGTAGCGATCCATCACTACCTCCATAATGACGATGTAATCTGGCAGCGTCCAATTCGTGATATTCGTCGTCCTGGCCGCCGGAAGTCGTACCGTACGTCGAGCTTCCTCTCATTTGTAACTGCAGATCGCTCGCGTAGCTCGCGGCCTGCGAGTCCAGTTCCGCGTACAGAGCCTCATCGGTTTGCATGTGGGTGTAGTGATTCTCGACCGGGAGATTCATCGCCCGTCGGTGCTGGGGAAGGGAGAGCGGCGTCGTGACGACTCCCGGGGTGCCGCCGCCTCGTCGAGAGCCCAACCACGACCACACGTTGTGCCCTAAAGTTCGATTTCATCCACAACTTGAGACCCATGCTGATTAGTACATTTTCTTATCGTATCTTGGCGGCATATTCATGATAAGGGAACAATCAACTGTGACATGCGGTTTTAAACGTTATTAAACGAGTCTAACGTAATTTTGCCTCAAAAAAGATAAAAAGGTAAAAAGAAGAGTTCTGTTTTTTAATAAATTGTTTTGTTTCATCATATTAATCAATTAAATTTTTTGCAAACACGAATTCAATTTTCCTCTAAAAGATAGACGTAATTATCCGATACGCTTGACTCATTCTCATCCTTTTTCCTCATGTACATTTTGTTTAGCAATATCTTATCACAAGACACGGACGCTTGTTTCATAACATCGTGAAAGATTTTACAGAGCTATCGACTAGTTGAAAACACCGTTGAGAAACGAGTCGCGGGAATCCGGTTCTATAAGCTCGACTTTCTTTGGCGAACGAAATGAGACGTACGGTCAGTGAGAGACGGCGCTACCGCATTCGCGATCGCAATACACGTAACGTGACGGATACATGCGAGTAACGAGCGCCCATTTCTCAACGATTCTCTCTCTCTCTCTCCTTTTCTCTCTCGCGTACGCATATGTATGAGAAGCGTCGAAACAGCAGGCGTCTCGTAATAACACTCACCGGGACTAGGCGCTACGTCGTGATAAGGCGGTAATTTGTCTAATTCGAGAGGCGGCCGATCGGGTATGACGGCCACCCCGCCGCCGGTGCCACCCGCCCCCGCGGGCCCGCCGGTGTCGGGCACGCTCGAGTCCTCCACGCCGACGCCGCAGCAGCTCGCTGGAACAGAGAAAAAGAAGGGAGGCTCTCACACACATGTTACACTCGTTGCTCCGGAAAAATTCGTTGGCGCGTCGCAACGCGAAAGTCGCTTAGCTCGGATTTCGCCTAGCTCGCGTTTCTCAGGGTATATATAGGGCATCACGGCCCTTCGTATATACGGTTAGCGAGATACCCGCTTGAATCCACGGGACGCGCGTTTCTCGTGCCGAAGCACGTGAAGTGCCAGGTGAGGTTGGCCTGAATTCCGATACGTTTATGGCCCCACGTGCATGTATATATACACTCCGTGCGCAAATATAAATAACTGCCCCCATACACAGAACGGCTACCGAACCCGAATCACCGCATTATGACATGTGCTCGCGTATAGAGAAAAAAAACCGGGTGTCTTCTGTATGGCTTTATTGTGAGCCTGTCATCGCGCCGTCATGGGCCTTCATAGAATTGCGCTGAGGGTTGTAGCGTATCAGAAGGTGGGGCGGGTGGTTGCACCGGAATAGGGGAGAGAAAAAGAAGAGTAGGCGAGAGGCGGAGAATGAAAGAGAAGAAGGAAAAAAGATCTCGAAATTTTGTAGATCAGAAGCGCCGCCGTGGCGGTAAGTGGATATACCGCGGAGATAAAAAGCGCGTCGATGTCATTCGTTGGAAAGTACGAGAATCTGATTCTCGTAACGTACTGATTCGCGTACGTTTTCAGACGTTTAATGTAATTAATCCATGGCGCAAAAGATCTATGGATGCTTATATTTTACTTATACCTCTCTGAAGAGAAGATGCTCTGAAAGTGATCGCGTGATCGCGTAAGTGATCGTAACACGAGCTTTTTAACGAAACGGTTGATGGATGTGTTTAGAAATCGTTGATTACTCGATTCGTGCACGCTTTCGCTGCCTTACGTTTTTATGGAAGTCTGACGTGGTAATTAATAACTTTAACTTTGACACGCTCATAATTCTTTCGGTCTACTTGCCCTATAGCCATATTTTTCTTACAGATGATTACTCTCGCTTATAACATATACTTTTGTAGGAAATGGATATTTCTAAGCCTGTTTTCACCGATTAATCAAATCCCTAAATTTCTCTATATTTCATTGAGTAATTGTAGGTTTTTGATGGATCTTTGAGAAACAAAAATACCACATTTAATTTTTGATGCTAAAAAAAATGAAAGGTTTTAATTTTATTGTTTTATTTACAATTATAATTTTACAATTTTAGTCAAATGAAATCTACTAGCAGATTACTCAGTTCATTGTAAAATGCACACGATCGTAGTCCCAGATATTCTATTTCCGTAGTCCTAGCTTCGTTAAAAAGTCATTAACTCGAACCGGTATAAGCATATTTTGTATAACCCTTCTGCTATTGCGCCTTGATCTGACGCGATTAAAGTCGTAATAGTAAAGAAGGAAATCCGTTAGATCTCTACAATTACGCGTGACTACTCTGCTTAATGCTGCCAGATCGCTCGATGTCATCGATTAATGCCGAAATGAAATGTGTAATCGCATTTATTTATTAACAGTACACTGATATCGAGCGCGATTACGACTTGCGACCGAACATTCCGCTGCTAATCTGCTTATTGCGGGAGCGGATCAGGCGCACGACGATTTATCCTCCCGTCATTTCGCAACGGTATTGAACCAGTTCTCGTTGCGATTTAACCAGTGGTGACAAAATTCCGGCGTGATTGTACCGTGACACATTGCGCTTATCGCTCCGAGCAAGTTTCTGACCGTTTTCTCTTCTCCATTCCCTATTAATTTTACTCTTACATACAACGATGCGTTATTCTATCCTATTTTTCTGAATGCTCAAGATTCTCGATTATATCTCATTTTTTACGAATAAGAATCGCTACGTAATCTAAAATATGTTTCGTAATATAAATGCTTCTCGTAAATTCTAATTAAAAGGTAGTTATTAGCGTTCGTATTATTGTCACAATATAACTTTATTAGCGATGATGTAACGTAAAATGTTACACGACTTGCTCAACCCGCGGAAAACGTATTCGCGCGTATAAAGCGAGTGGCGGCTTCAGATCGACGTTCATCTCACCTGCGCGATTACGACATTAGTTTCCACCTTCCGAACGAGTTAAGTTAATCGAATCCGTTCGCTCTTCCAGACCGTCGCGCTGTATCACCTGCGGCATATCAATTATCAGGATAGATAGATAGAATATTAATTGGGCAACACGTGAAAAGTGTGGCGTTGGAGAACATGTCGTGACGACGGGGGGGCAAATGTTACGCTCTTTCGTCACGATCAGATAGCTAGAGGCGTGCGTAGAACTCATTTCCTGCCTTCCATTGCTGTTGTGTCACGTGTCGTATAAATTGTAATAAATTGTATTAAATTCTTATCGTTGATATTGTACGATAGGAATTGTTAATACAGTTTATTATAATCAAATCCATTCGGAGTAAGTCATTATATAGATACTTTTCTCATTACGTACGACATTCCTTAGAATAAGATTCTTTAACAAATTTTTGGAATAAATCTTTACTTAGAATAAGTTTCAATGCAGACCATTTCTTGTTATCATTTTTATCATTTAAAATTAAGAATCTCTTGATAATAAAATTAAGATATGTACTGAAATTAAAATTCTGATAAAATAAAGTGTACTTGAAATTACGATAATGAAAAGTAAAAAGTTATACAAGTATTACTTTACTCAATAAAATTATTTAAATTCAGATTATTCGCTTTACGTAATTAATTATACGTAATTCATTATTAATCTAATGTAATTCCATAAAATTATTGTAATCAACTTGATACAAAATTTCGATTTATACGACAAAAGGTTTTGCATCTGATTGTGTATCAATATGTATGAAATTGTACATGTTGAGCGCATATAGCAAGCATCTTGGTTCCTTGACGTATTGTACATCGACTGATCCAAAATATCGTTCCAGTCGACGCGCGATAAGCCGATTAACGGATTCGATTCACCTTTTCTACCTCCCCGATCGTCATTGTATCCGGAGGATCGCACGGCAATCTAACGTGTATAGTATGGACCCCTCCGTTCTTTTTTTGCGCGAAAGCAACCTCTTTCAGCCGTCCATTAACGCGCTGCTCGTCCGGTGGCACTTAAAGCAATCCTTATGCATGGAAGAATGTACTATTAACGAACTTTTACTAATTTATTTTTTGCCCGGCAGGATATTCAATTATCTGTAATCTTATAAAGTGTCGGCACGATAAAGTTATGTTTCATAAGCTCCGGTTGAACGTTCAGCCAGGCCAATTATTGATTCAAATTGCGGACTTATTAGTTTTTATAATTCTGAGATTACACCCGAAAGAGATACCGGCAACATTGAAACATTCCTAACGAAGAGAAAGTCTTATAAAGCAGACGTATAAGATCGTTGCGTTTCAACTTTATATGTTTAGATATGAATCTAAAGGGTACAAAATATTTTTTGATAAATCAAATATACTATGCGACTTTCATTATAAAACACACGTAAATACGAAGTGTTTTAATTATAATATTATGTAATACTTGAGGAACGTATTCTGGAAATTAATTATCGAAAACGCGCTTATTTACATTCGAATGAAATTCTTACATCGTGCATGAAAGAAGTAAAGTTATATGATTGATTACACCGGCACACAAAAAAAAAAAGTGGTTTGTGCATTTGACCGGACCCATCTACGGACATGTTTTTCGACCCGCTGAATCCGAATTTGAGGTCCGTTGGGCTCGGTCAGGTCCCAGATTTTAGTAAAATGCAAAAAACCCCCCA